CCGCGGCGCCGAACTGCGCGTCGGCCATGGCGACGTGCGCGAACGCGCGGGCGGCGGCGCCGCTGCTGCTGCTACCGTCGGTGGAGAGAAAGGGTAGCAGGTGGCGCGAGGACGACGACGACGGGTCCGGGGTGTGCAGCAGCTTCAGGAAGATTTCGAGGCCCTCGTCGGACGCGGCCGTGCGCGCGCTCAGCCGGATGCAGCGGTGGCCGGGGCCGACGTGGCCGGGACCGGGGCCGTGACCGACTTGGCCGTTGATGATGGCGGCGGTGCTGGTGAAGGAGCCGCGGCGGCGGGGGTTGGCGCAGTAGTAGTAGTAACCGGTGCGGCCTTTGCCCTTGTCGTCGTCGTTGTTGTTGTTGTCGTCGTCGTGAGCGCTGCACGACGGGCACACGGACGGGCTGATGTAGATGTACTTGCTGACGCGGCCATCGACCACGAGGCTCACGACGCAGCGGGTCGGCTCGCCGGCGCCGTCGGGCCCGCGGAGGGAGTAGTCCTGCGTGAACGGCCGGGGAGCCGGGGGCGCGTTGTTGCTGTCCGTGAAGGCCACGGTGGCGGCGCCCCGGCTGCTGCGCGACGAGGTGCTGGTGCTGGTGCTGGTGCCGGTGCTGGCGCTCGAGACGCTGCCCCGGCCGGCGGCCCGGGCGGCAGGGTTCTTGTGTTGTTCGGCGCTCGCGGACTCGGGCGCGCGCGGGCAGGTGCTGCGGCCGCGGCGGCCGTTGGCCTGGGTGTGGCGGTCGCTGCCGTCGGTGTAGGCCGGGAACGAGGGGGGCATCGTCACGCTGCCGTGGACCGCCTGGCCCGGCCAGTTGCTGTCGCCGCGCGAGCCCCGTGTGTGGATGTCTTGGGCGGGGTCGTAGCTGGGCCAGAGGCCGGCGATGGGGACCGTGCCGTATTGGGTCGTGGGGGGCGGGCCGTTGTGCCAGGCGGCGTACCTCCGTACATGGTCGATCATGGGTTGCAGCGCGGGGTTCCAGCCCGTGCCGTCGGCCACGTAGAAGAACGGACCCGGGGGACCGGCCGGCTGGCTGTGGTGGTCGTAGGCCGGGACGCGTCGAGGGGGGTAGGCTGGGCCGCGTTGGTATGGGGGTGGCGCCCAGTGGGCGTGGGCGGGCATCTGCTCGGGAGCGCGGGGGCTTGCATGGAAGCGGCCGTGCTGGAGGAACTCCCTGAAGAGTGTCTCGGAATCCGGGGGGAACATGTCAGGATCCATGTTGCAGGCTGCAAACGAGAAGGGTTCGTGGCGGATTGGAGTGGCGGATGTGTGGATCTGTGGTTGGATGTGGTGTGACTGCGACCTGGGTAGTTGCTGTTCTGTGCCTAGTGAGACTAGGAAGGACAGAGACGGCTGACGAGAGGGCTGTTATATAGACGGCAGTCTTGTTCTTCTGCCTACCGTCCTTCTGCAAGAGCAGCGCCGAGGAGGGCGCCGTTGTAGCGAGAAGCCACGGGGAGACCGAGCCGCGATGCCACCAAAGGACCATGCTGCCACAGAGCATCGCAAGCCTCCCTGCTGGGATTCCGCGACCGATGATGAGAAAAAGTCGGAGGTGTTGACAAAAACCCACGAGACAGGCGGGCGGGTAGGTGCGGCGTCGGCGGCAAGCATCCGTGGAGTGAGCTGTGCTGCTGCCGGACGCTGGCCGTCACAAAGAAAGTCTGCGTCGGCTGGTGGCAAGCAGCCTAGGACGTCCAGCGAGCTGTTTCTTGCCTGCCCGCCAGTTTTTCGAGCTGGGAAGGCTGAGAACCTTGATGGACTATCGTATCTTTGTTCGCTACCCGGAACCCTCCGCGCTGGTTTGGTGTCTTGAAGAGGGTGGTGAGACCGGTTCAGGCCTCCTACCCGTCCTCAGTTCCCAGATGTAGTTTCCAGTGTGCTCTGGACACGGCAGCCTGAACCATGCCGTTCATGTGTGGGCGAAGCATTCCGGGCGGTTCCGGAACTTCAGGAAGCCGTAGGTAGTAGAACCAGTTCGAGCCATCCGCTACCCGGCTTTCCACAGGCTCTTGCTCGCGATTTCTGAGCACGGCAGTTTGACAGTTTGTGGCACCAGAGATGACATTCTGTTCGCTTGCTTCAGAACAACAACTAGAAGATTAGAAGGACATAGTTATACATGGAAGAGAAACCATCAGAACCCACCACACACAACCTCACAGCAGCGTCCCCGACATGCACTCGTCGCACGGAAACCCCTTCACGTCGGCGGCGCGCGTCGCGTTCTTGAGGAAGCAGTTGCCGCCCGTGTCGAAAAACTGCCTCTCGTCCATCCTGCGCCGCCACACGACGGTGCGGCACACCATGGCCGGCGACGCGCCCTGGATCTTGAGCGACAGCTTGTTGAAGCTGGCACACGACCGCACGCAGTCCTCGAAGCTGTAGGCCACCACCGACTGTATGTCCTTCATGTCGAAGGGCGCCTCCCGCCCGCGCCCGATGGAGTCGACCCGGCACTCAACCCGGTACCGCGACCCGTCCATGGCCTCGACCGTCTGGCCCTCGAGCCGCGGGCAGGGGAAGGCGAGCGTGCTGACGTTGCGCCAGTTGGCCGCCTCGTAGTTGGTCAGCATGGCCGCCGCCGCCGCCCCGGCTGTTGCCGCCGGTGGTGCCGATGACGACGACGACGACGACGACGTGCCGCTGGGGCTGCCGGCTGCTGGCGGAGCTGTGGTTCTGCTCGCCGAGTCGGCGGTTCTGCACTCGGTCGCTGGCGACGCAGCCCCGCCTGCCGACGCGGCCGGTCGGCTCGCCAGCATGGATCCAAGCACGCCACCGACGATGGCGCCGCCGACGATGACACCCAGGAGGCACGCCGCTGCGGCGAGCAGCCAGCCGGGGTGCCGGCCGCTGCTACTGCTGCCGCTGCCGTCCGCGGCTTTTTCGTACTGCGACTGGGGGTAGTCATGCTGGGGCGCCAGCGCTCGTGGCGGCGGCGACGTGGCCACGTAGCTTGTCGACGGCGTCCCTGGGTGTTGTTGCTGCGACGGCGGCGGCCCCCACCAGCCCTGGTCTTGCTGTGTTGCTGTTGCCGTTGCGTGGGCTTGGGGGTAGTTGTTGTCGTGCTTGACTGGCTCTGGCCCCTCCACATAGAGGGCCTGGGGTCCGTTGGCGTCGGCCATTTTCGGTGTGGGGGAGGGAGAGGGTGAGGGATGTGAAGAGAGAGAGCGTGTATATACAAGATCTAGAAGACACAGATCGTCTCGGGCAACGTGCTGGCTAGCAGGGACTAAGGTGACCCATGAGCTTAGTACTTAAGAGCAGAGAAGCACCTCCAGGCCAAGAAGAAAGCAAACCGTCCACGCGAGAGCCAGGGACGGAGGAGGGAGCGGGGATCGGCAACTTAAAGACAGCAGGAGTCTCGTCGTGTAACCAGCGGCTACCGTAGTGGAGAGGTCAAGCCATGCTCATCCACCCCATGCGTCGATCCTGCTTCGAGAGACTCTACCTGGTCTCATCTCGGCTGGCCTCAGCGCCAAGTAGACTCCAGGGGGCCGACGGCTGTGCCCCGGAGTGGTTGGAGAAGTGCGTCCACGATCCCCGTTAGAGGGTGTGACTAGCCTGCACGTCGGGCTCTACAAGCCTCCGATATCTTGCTCTGGCCAGCGGCTGGCCGCCGAAGGAATGCTCAAGAGGGCCTTGGCAAGCCCTCCCCTCCCTCAAGGCAAAACAGCCCGGTTTACGACGCGTGGTGAGGACGCCGCAGAGCCCGGACCGGGACATTTTGCATCAATGCCCCGACATCAAGCTCACAAGTTTTCCTCCTACTCCCCCAGAGACCTGACAAATTTCGAGGGGCCCTGTTCACGGCGCATGAGGACATTGGGGCATCTTACATAACTCCACAACGGCTGCAACTGCTTCTTGGTGGCCTTGCGACTCGAGACACCAACCTGGCCCGCCCCTGGTGTCGCCTCACTGTCTTCGGACAGGCCAAAAGCGTGGCCAGAGGATTCTAATCCTTGCCGCTTTATTCTTTTCAGTACAGCCGCGGCGCAGTTTGTATTGAAAACATGGCGGTAAAACCTGACCTCCGATTTGGCGCTGCCGCCTCAGCCCCCAGGTCAAACACACAAGCCCCGCAAGCACACTGCATTAGGTCTAAGCCTGCAGGGCGATGAACAAGTAATATAAAAATAACCGACCCGATGGAAGGAAAAGCAGTGTTCAGGGCGTATTTATTATATGCCAGGATAAAGTTCAAACATTGATTTCTCTTGTATCCTAATCGCCTGTCGGGACTTCTGGTACTGGCAGTGAAATCCCACAATACCTTTTACATGCTTTCGAGACGTGACTTTTCTAGGCAAAAGTGATCTTCCAGTCCTGGGCCACCTTGGCACCGACGCCGCGCACCACAGCGTAGCCTGCCTTGGTACCCGCCGCTGGCGTGTACTCGATCGCCACAGTAGTCTTCTCCCCTGTCGCAGACTCGAGGGTAGCCTGCTTCTTGGCCACCTGCTTGGCCGGCAGCCCAACGACAATGATCTTGTCGACAGCCACGTCGCCAAAGGCCTTGAGCCACGCCCCCGGCTTGATCTTGCTCAACGTCTCGGCGTCGCGGCCCTCGGCATCGGCCGATCTCAGCGTCGCCCCCTCGAGAGCGAACCGCCTGTGCACGTACTGTCCCTGCTCGTAGTCAAACGAGTCGCCGTCGTCCACATACAGGATTCCCTCGGCGCGGCCGCCGGCCTTGGGGTAGGTGATCACTAGTGTGTACGGGTCGAAACGCATCAGGGCGCTAGAACGCCGGGGGATGTCCCTGCGAGCAAAAACGTGACCACCACGCATCAGGAGCGGGATCTTGTCGAGCGGGGCCGCCAGTGTCGTCTTTTTTCCCTTGTGAGTCTGCGGCACATCGTACGTGAAGTAGTCGTAGTAGACCTCGTCATCGGGGATGTACATATCGACCGACTCCTTGTCCTTCTCCACCACGGGCTTGTGCAGCAGTCCTGTCTCACCGACAAAGAACTGGTCATCGACCGCGAATCCGCTCTCCTCGGTGGGGTTGGTGTAGAACATGGGCCGGATGATGGGCACGCCCTCGATATGGGCCTGGCGGAAGGCCGTGTACCACGAGGGGAGGAGGCTGTAGCGCAGGCGCAGCGCCGCCGTGATGATTGGGGTGTACGGGTCTCCGGCCAGGTAGGGCTCGCGGCGCCGTGCGTCAATGTGCGCGTGGCCGCGGAAGAAGGGGTAGAATGCGCCGGCCTGGTACCAGCGCGTGAGCAGGTCCATGTCCGGGTTACCAAAGAAACCCCCGACGTCAGCCCCCGAGAAGGGGAATCCAGCAATGCCCTGCGAGAGAAGCATGGAAGCCGAAGCTCCCAGATGCTCCCACGAGGCCTGGTTGTCGCCGGTCCACATGGCACCGAGTCGCTGCGATCCGGCGAAGAAGGAGCGCGTCAGAACAAACGGGCGCCGCAGCTCGCCGGCCTTGCGGCTAAGCAGGGCCTGGTACGTGGCGTTGTGGAACGTCATGCCGTTCAGGTTGTGAATATCGCGGTGCTCCCAGCCACCGTGGTGCAGGTTGTCCTTGGGCATCGACACCTCGGGTCCGTTGAAGACGGAGGGCTCGTTCATGTCGTTCCAGATGAACGTGTTCTCGGCCGTGCCCTCAAACGACGAGTACTTGAACTGCTCCTTCCACCAGTCCACCGCCTTGGGGTTGAAGGCGTCAATGTAGTGCGACGACCCGGGCCAGCACCAGCCCTCAAAGATGCTCCCGTCCTTGGTCTTGACCGCCAGGTCCTTGGACTTGAGCTCTTCAACAACCCGGTAGCCGGCCTCGTTCTTGATGTGCGGGTCGATGATGGTGACGAGCTTCCGGCCGTGGGCATCGAGGTGCTTGCACATGGCGGCCGGGTCCTTAAACATGTCCTTGTCCCACGTAAAGTACTTCTTGCCATCCGTGTACTCGATGTCCAGCCAGATGACGTCGTAGGGGATGTGGAACTTATCCATCTTCCGGTCTACATCCTTGACGTCGTCGTCCGAGACGTAATTCCAGCGGCACTGGTGGTAGCCGATCGAGAACTCCTGTGGCATGGCCGTGAATCCCGTGAGCTCGCCGTACTTCTGGACTACGTCACGGGGCGTAGGGCCCAGGAAGACAAAGACGTCCAGCAGGCCACTCTCCGAGATCCAGTGGGTCTGCGTATTCTTCTTGGAGCCCAGGCCAAGAGCGAGCGGGTTATTTCCCGCCTTGGCCTTGACGATGTCGATCCACGTCTCGGCGGCGTTGAGCCAGAAGACGCCGACGGTCGAGTCCTTGCGGTGGGCCTGCATGAAGGGGATGGCGCCGTACAGGCTCATGGGGCTGTCGAGAATGTACTCGAACACGTCGAGATTGTAGAACCGGTACGGCTCCTCGTAGTTGCCCTCACCGCCGCGTGTCTCCTTGAGCGAAAGCGGGCCAGCGTGCGAGGGGATACCAAAGACGTGCTCGTATCCAACGAAGGAGATGTCCATAGCGATACTCTCAGGGCCGCGAGGCTTGGTGTCGGTGTTGCCACCGAAAGTTTCCTCCCACCATGTGCTCTCGTCCTCGCCCTGGGGCTTCTGCTCCTCCTCTTCCTTCTTTTGCTCGCCCTCTTTGGTCTCCTCAGAGCCCTCGGCAGGCTGTTCGGCCTTTTCGACCTTGGGCCGCCAATGCTCCATGTTGAGCAGGCCGCGGTCGTTGAACTTGATCTGGCTGTTGCCGTCGCGCCTGAAGTCGATACCGAAGGGGGCGAACTTGATGAAGGCCTCGAATTTGGCGTCGGGTCCGTACTTGATGGTGATCTGGCCCTTGTCCTCTGAGGCGACCTTGGCGGCGGCGTCGACCTCGAGCCCGCCGACGATGGCAAAATTCTCGGCCTCGCTGTAACGTTCCTTGCGGGCAGTGCTGCTGTGGCGGAGGTCGATGTCCTTGTTTAGGCGCCTCTCTTCGTCGACGGTGACCCTGGCGGTGCCCGACTTGAGGAAGGAGACGGTCAGGGGCAGGCGCACCGTCTTGCCGTCCTGGTCAACCGTCTTGTGGATGATGGCCTCGAGGCGGCCATCTTTGAAGGCGACCGAGTCGGCCAGCACTTTGTAGGGAGCTTCCCATGATGATCCAGCACCAATGGCAGTGTCGGCGTAGGCGCGGTTGCGTTTGCAGAAACCCGACTGTTCGCACTTTTTGAAGTCGTGTTCTTTGACCATGACTGGGAGGAGGGAGAGCGGTGTCAGTGGGGAGACGGGGATGGTCAATATGCTTTCGTCTGGGCCGAGACTGAAGCTTACCAGCTGGGGTGAACAGGCAGGTCAGGGTGGAGAGGAGGCAGAGCGAGGCCGTCCAGCTCCTCGAGGTGCCGCCCGAGAGGCGCATGGCGACGACACCACGTCAGACGCCAGGTCGATCGGCGTCGCTAGTAGAATGGAAAGAAAAGAGGCGGGGTAACGAGAAAGAAAGGCGGCAGGCGCTCTATCGGCCAGCTCCAAGATGGCCAGTGTGCTGGGGAGGAGGAAAAGCCCAGCTCAGTTGTCGGTTTTGGCCGGCAATTCTGGGCGACCGCCATGCTCCGACTCGCAAGGGTCAAGCTGGCCAGAAACAACCCTGCACTGTTGGCCTAATCAGGTTAGTGCGGGTCTTGCACCTCAATGACGTTTGAAGGGGCTGCTCGATGGATGCATGTCCAGGAAAGGGCAGAATTCGGTCTGGAATGGGTACAGATAGAGAGGGTACCTAGTGAATAATACAATCTTCAGTATTTCTCTCTCTTTTTTTTCTTTTTTTTCATTCAGGCATCCACCCAGGGCAAGGAGCCTGGCAGCATCGTCGTTGGAGGAAGCGGGTGCAGCTTGGCTGTGCTTCCCACCATCGTGACCCACCACAATGCTCCAATCCCATCAACCCAAGTCGACAACACCGTGGAAACTCCAAGTTAGGAAAGAACAATTAGCCAGAGAATCTCGCATAAATACAAGCAGATTGGCTCACCAGAACCTTGGGCGTTGATCAGTGCAGCGTGGCCATCTGGCACTCCTTCCCCCAGCAAATAGCCCATTATCGGGAACCTCGCCTCGTTAAACGCATGACCAGAACGGCACGCTCCGTTACCCCTGAAAGCTGAGCAAACGCCCATCACCATGGACGGCCACCCCACCACCTGCCTGCCCCGCGGGCGACCTGCAGCCCTGGCGGGACCGCGAAAAATAATTACCCCGCCAATTTTTATGCTGGTCCTCGTCCTCCTAAGCTTCTTCGCCTGCTTCGTCTCGTCCCTCGACTCTGGCTCCAACAACACACAACTCCTGCCCGACCATCAAATCCTCAACACCAACACCAACAACGTTTCTGACCCAAACGAATCTCCCAAAATGGCTGACGAGCAGACGTATGTTCCCAAGCCAGCTGTTCCTTCCTCCCTGCGCCTGTTTTTTGTTCTTCCCACGCGGACTCGTCTGCTTGCCCTTTCCGGAGGTCTTGCTTGCATATCACAAGAAGAAAAACTTGCTAACTTTGCTCTCACCTCGACAGCTTCATTGCCATTAAGCCCGACGGCGTTCAGGTATGGAACCACCTCGAAGCATCAAACACCTCTACCTGCTCGCTGAGCAGCCCTGCTAACAGCATCACAGCGCGGTCTGGTCGGCCCAATCATCTCCCGCTTCGAGCAGCGCGGGTAAGTCGAGGCAACTTTGGGTCGCTGTTAACCAAAGAACAACAGGACACAAGAGACGCTAACCACTCTCACCGTAGCTACAAGCTGGTCGCCATCAAGCTGACCAAGCCCGGCGCGGAGCACCTCAAGGAGCACTGTTCGTCTTCCTCCCCAACCTTCCCCCTCGTTTGTCCCGACAGCTAGACTAACTCAACTTCTCACTACTACAGATGCCGACCTGAAGGACAAGCCCTTCTTCGCCGGCCTAGTTGAGTGTATGCCACACCCACCCCCGCCACGCGCACAGCGGGTCTAGACCCCACGAGACACGCAAGCTAACATGTTGGGCACAGACATGAACAGCGGTCCCATCTGCGCCATGGTCTGGCAGGGACGTGATGCCGTCAAGACTGGCCGCAGTACGTTTGGCCCTACATCCGTGGCACCCCCAGTAATGCGTTTTATGTACTGACTCTGGACGATTCACAGCTCTCCTCGGCGCCACCAACCCCCTCGTCTCGGCCCCTGGCACCATCCGCGGGTTAGTCTTGGCCCATCTACTTTTCCCATGTGAAAATCTGCCCTTGATATCGTGTCACAGCTGACTCTTCTTCTTTCACAACAGTGACTTCGCCATCGATGTCGGCCGCAACGTCTGCCACGGCTCCGACAGCGTCGAGAACGCCAAGAAGGAGATTGCCCTGTGGTTCAAGGCCGGCGAGGTCGTTGACTGGGCGTCCGAGAACGCCAAGTGGATCTACGAGAAGCCGTAAATTTCCCAACAGGCAAAGACCGGAGACTAAAAAAATGGGTGGACTTTTGTGGTGTTCGGCACGTCTTCAAGGAAAATGAGGCAAAGCTAGCCACGTACTAGATTCATCAGCTGTCGGATCAGAGAAGCAGGAACAATGCAAACATGATCGAGACTTCGTACCTGTGTTAAGGACGATTCGGGCCACTCTTGGCATCGCGCTGACCAGCGTATGTTTTTCTGTGACCATGTGGACGCCCTCGTCGAAATTTCCAGTCCTGGGCGCCCCAACTACTGCGACTTCCTCCCGCTGCTCAAAAGGGTTCTTGTGCGCACGAGAACACCCGCAAACCATGGCGTGGCCCAGATGCTCGCCGCAATCCGCAACGGCAGCAGCGCCTTGGTGATGGCGTAGGCGAGCGCGATCTCGACCACGGCCCGATACGGCCCCTGCGCGCCTTGGAGAGCAGCCACCCTATCCACCCCGGCGGCGGCGGCGCCTCCCTCCGCCTCCCCCTCCTTCTGCCCCTCGCCCGGCTCTAGGCCGAACCAGCCCTTGCGGCGAAAGTAGCGCTCGAACCGGCCCAGCCCCTCGTCGACGTACGGGCCGTAGCGGGCCGCGACCCAGGCGACGGGCGCGACGTGCAGATCCGTGTAGTGGAAGAGGGCAAACAGGCCGAGCAGCGGCACCACGGCCGTCAGCTCGTGCAGCACCAGGAAGGCGGCGGCGTGCGAGAGCGGCGCGGACCGCAGGCGCGAGGCGTAGGGGCGGAGGGGACGGGGCAGGCGGTCGAGAACGCGCGAGAGGCGCTGCTGCGGCGGGGAGGCCGGCGTGGGCGGAGGGGCGCCGGGGGGTTTGGGCGGCTGCTGGGAGCTGTGTCGCTTCGTTTGGGTATGACGGCCAGGACGCAAGGGGGTCGAGACGGAGGGGCGGCGCGGTATTGAGGCTGCTCGGTGCTGGGCGCCGGATCGTGCGGGAGACGCCAATTGGGAGAAGGTGCGCGCGGCTTGGCGGAGGCGACCGGGTAATGGTTGAGGGAACGACATTCTGGGAGGTTCGAAACCGAATGTGGTCGTTTTCACTTGGAATCTCAAGTCCCTGCATGTGGATGTGCCAGCTGGAAAGTACAAATTGCGATTACGTAATGCTGTCGATCCAAGTGCACGCCATGACACCCAAGGAAAGTGAAGGTGTGATAAGGAAATATAATAGACGAGTTAATGACGGCGGGATCCTAGTCCCGGCCGATCCCATGCAGCCCATTCCACCGTTCCATCATTTCCACAACCAACTCCCAACGGCCGCCCTGAAAAAGCCCCCAGTAGTCGCCCCGGCGTATAGTGTCCCTCCACTTCACGGCAATATCCAGAGGCGTCATTCCCGACTTGTCAGGAGTGTCTAGTGACAGTCCTACTCCTTCGCCCAAAAGGAAATCCAGGACAGCTTGCGTCAAATATCCACTATCTGCGATGAAGTGCAGTAGCGTCCAGCCCTTGCAATCCACCATGTCGAGTTGAGCACCAGCGTCTCGAAATAGTTCCAAGCCTTCGACGTTGGCGTGTGAAGTCCCAGCGTAGTAGAAAACTGCGGTTCGGTTCACGTGGTCTCGAAGCAACATGTCGGCGCCATTTTTTCGGAAAACCGTCAGATCGTCGACCGAACAGCTGGTAAAGAAGGGGAGGGAATTCTCCGCACAGAATACCATCAGCGGAGTCAAGCCGTTGTCGTCCGTGTCGTTGATTCCTGCTCCACCAGCACACATTCTTGGGAGCATGGAGAGCCAGCGAGAGGACGTGCACATGTGGTGCAGCATGTTGCGGCCACGCTTGTCCCGGCGTTGGAACAGCCCGGAACTTTGCGACTCGCAAATCTCGAGAATCCCCTGCGCGAGCCTGTAGGCCCCATAGTGCAGCACGTTCCTCCCTTGCGCGTCCGTCTCCGTGACGTCTGCCCCCCTGTCCAGCAGCAGGCGCGCAAGCTCGGCACTGCCCCTCAAGCAGGCCATCAACAGCGGGGTCTGGCCGTCGTGGTTTCGTCCAGAGACGTCCGCGCCGTGGTCGAGCAGCATGCGGGCGACTCTCTCGCAATCCCCCCCGTCGTGCAGCAGCGCGTGGAGCGGCTGCCACCCGTCGATGTCGGCCGCGTTGACGTCCGTCTTCGCGTGGCACACAAGCATCTCGACAAGTCGGTATCTCTCTTCCTTCATCCATTGCATCTTCTCGTCCCAAACTCCGTTCTCGTAGTCATCTGGTTTCTCTACGAGATCCCTCATGTGCGTCTCGAGAGTTTTCCAATCCTCGTTGGTAATACACATGTACCTATATATTTTGGCACACTCTTTGACTTCGGGGAAGAGAATGTTTCTGCGCTGTCTCCGTTCAATGCGAGGTCGTATGCTTGCCTGCGAGATTGCCGTTTGTTCCATGCCGGGTCGTATAACTTCCTGTGAGATTGCCAGGTGAAGAGCTGTTTCCCCGCATTCTGTCCTCGCGGCCGGATTTGCCCCCCTTTCCAAGAGGAACTCGACCATGTCAGCCCTCCCTGTAAATGCTGCGTAATGAAGTGGCGTGAGTCCAGTGCTGCCACCCTTACTGTCGGAATCGCATAGTTCGCGCTGCAAGTCCCATGCACACCCCTGCGTCTGATCCAAGTAGTAGCCCTCTCGGAGTCGGACTGGTGCGTCGATGGCATGTCCGGCTTCGAGGAAGAGATCAATGCCGAGCATCCACCCATCATACACGGCGTGATGAAGCAATGTCATATTGCCACAATCCACCATAGCTGCCGGAGCTCCTTTCTCGAGAAGAAGCCTAAGCGCGCGCCCCCATCTGCGGGTGGTGGCATGGTGTAGAAGCTTCCTCTGGAGCGCGTCGTGGATGTCCGGCTTTGCTCCGCCATATTCCAGGAGCCACATCAAGGCTTCTTCTTGACCGCCCACGGCTGCCCATAGCAGTGGGGTGGCTCCGTGATCGTCCTGGGTGTTGACGCTCTCCTCCTTCGCCAAGGCCTCGAGATGATGGCGGAGGCCGAAATAGGCGGCCAAGTGCAGGCCCGTTAAGCGCTTGTACTCCCCCCGGAACGGCGGCCAGCTCGGGGACCCAAAGTGCTTCCAGGCCTTGCAGACGTTCGGGCGGTGGCGTAGGAAACTCATGACATCCATGAACAGGCTCTCGTCAGCGGCAGCCATCGCGAAGTGAGTGGCCCAGTTTTTAGCGGCATAACTGTAGGCACCAGTCCCCTCCTCTCCCAGCTTGAGGCATTTTATCAGGGCTTTGGTAATGTCCGCTTGCGCGCCTGGGAACTTGTTCTCCCACTCCAGGTTAAGGAACGCTCGGATGCTCCGATGGGAAATCTGAACCGCTCTTTGCTCCGGGATGTGAATGTCGCGGCGTTCAATTAAGAAACCACGTGCGTCCCGGACCAGTTTGTCGATGGATAGTGTACCCCTTCTGCCGCCCATCAGCTCCAGGGCGTGACAGAGTTCGTCGCGGTCCAGAGGGCGTTGCGCTAGAAGTATCCATAGCATCGCCTTGATAGCACGCCCCGTCTCCAACGGGTCGCGGCTTTCAAGCTTCGATAAGAGACAGCCGAATGCACGTCGAAGAGCTCCATCTAAGTCTCGGAGCCCAGATAGCCTCCCAGACGAGATCCCCTTCAAAACATCCGCGAACTCATAGATCGAGTCCATGGATCTCAGTATATGGAAGAGGAATTTCGCAATAAGAAAGCTGGTGCGGTACTTGGTTAGTGACGAAAAGTCAATTGGGCTACGCAAGTGCCTTACTTTCTTCCCGACACCTTCCACACAGTCTCGGCGACCTTTTGGATGTTAAGTCCCTCTGTCAAGATGTCAGAAGACAGATCGGAGGCGCGATCTTGAATGTACGTATCCATGTCCGCCTGGCTCGCTTGGATTTCGAGGCTGGGCCATGCACCCATAGTCTGCATGATCTCAGGCTGATCCAGGGAAGCGAGCACCAGATTAACGCTGGGCAGTCTCTGAGGCAGCTTGATCGACCAGGCAAGCAGGCTCCTAACATCGGCGAAGCCTGTGCCAAACTCGTCTATGCCGTCGAATAGCAGGTAGACCTTTTTGAAGCGCTCGGTGGCCGAGCTGACCGCGTCAAACAGACGGGGTCCTTTCAACCCGGCGAGAGTTCGTGGCACAAGGTCGGCGCTCGGCTTGATGAATATGGAAGGACTCCTGCTGGATAGTAGGCAGAGAATAGCTCGCATGATGTCGTCTAGGGACCCTAGGTCTTGCTTCTCGCCAGCGCGGAAAAACAGCGAGACAATGGCAATATCGCGGTCTTGGGCGTGTGCTTCCAGATGCTTCGCCAGCTTGGCCATGAGAGTCGTCTTTCCCGCGCCTTGCTCCCCGTAAAGGAGAAGCACTTGGCCTTGTTCCCTCCTCCACTTTTCCACGGCTGCCGAGCCGAGGATGTGCCCAAAAGTCCCATCAAGACCCGTGGACGGGGCATAATGAGGACCCGGCCAGATCTCGGCGATTTGTTTGCGAATCTCTTGTGACTGTCTGACTTCTTCCTGCAACCTGGGCTATTATCAGCACTGTTGGAGATTGAGGAGATTGCCAAGGCATACCAGGAGAGGCGCCTTTCCGCTCGCTTCCACGGCGTTTTCAACCCTGCTGGGTCAAACTGTGCCCGCCTGTAATGTTGCCTTAGGAGCCCAATTAGTCCTGGCCCGCGGGATTCGATACTGTCGAGATGTTCCTTGATTTCGTCCACCACTTCGAGGCACGCCCTGGCGAGTTCCTTCGATTCCGCAGGCAAGCTGCTGCTTTCCTCCACGTACGGCCCAAGCTGTCGCTTGAAAAATTCGACACTGCGGCAAAGAAAAGGAGAAGTCGAGCCAGTCAGTGCATGTCACGACCTAACCGCAAGGTCGCAGCCTCTAACTTACTCCTGCCTTTGCGCAGCAATTTGCTCAGGGGCTTTTATGTAGCGTTCGGCTGCCTTTTGTAGCTTGTACACAATCCGGCCGAGAGCGAGTATGTCGGCGTGCATGTACATGGCGCTGACTTCACCATGAGCGCTTGTTATCAGAGAAGGGGTTCACCGATGCAATTCGAGTTGGGATCCGGAGCAGGCAACCACATTTTTGTCATGTGCTACCGTTTGCGATGGATGCCTCACGGCCAGAAAAAGCCTGGCGGAAAGCCTGACCATCAAGAAAGCAGACGACGGCTTTTCATGCTGGCCAGTTGGGCACCGCCACGTTGTCACGCAGGCTCTCGCGGAGACGAGGTGGTAAGGCTGTGGGAGAAGAGTGCGAGAAGCCTGGTTGGCTGTCAATTGAATGCCGCCTGAGAAAGGCGCATCGACGCCCGGCTTGGGTGAACTCCAATTTCCATGTGCTTCCAAAAAGCACCCAAAGTGTTAAGATGCAAACTGCGATATCATACATAGATTAACTTCTCGATTTCTCCTAGATAGCACATGTTAAAGCTCAGCAATATACGTAGGCGTCCCGCTGCGAGTCGGATGTTCGGTCTTGATGTAATTACGGCCGTGATTCCTCCGGACGGCTGTCATCATCGCGCGTTTGGTTGGGGCACCCGCGTTGGCGCTTGATAATGGGTTAGAGTTCAACCTGAACGGGTTCTCGGACCGCGTAAGTCGCGGTTGAGAGAAGCAGCACGGCCTTGTCGATGACTTCATCCGGGCCAGTGCTCTCTGCGCTAAAGTCTTGTTGTTGAGTAATGTCCAGTGGTATTGCTGTAGGAGGCTGCATAGATCAACTCACGTTCTGCGCGTGTGAATGTGGAATGCGTGTAGCAACGATATCCAGAACCACCTGGCGCCCATACTCCGCGAGGCAGCTGCGAGGTAACAGACATGAATAATTGTCCCGCATCGGCGCTGGATGCATGTGAAAAACACGGAGGGGTCAAGAGAGAACAGTTGGCACGGTAGGGATCGAGATGACCAGCACGGTGAGCTTGCCAGCCACGCCAGCAAGACTGCGCCGATCAGGCCACAAAAAAAGATAACAGCTGCTGGCTGAGCAAGAATTAGGGGATGAAACAACCACGTCGAGATTGGCATCCACGGGCAAGGTGCGACGCCATTTCTGCATCCAAGCAGCATCCCGGAAGCACAGAATGCCATGCCCTAGGCCGGGTTGCCGAAAGCGAATGAGCCGATAAGACCAGACGGCGGGACGCTCAGCCGTCGCCGCAAGGGAGCGCTGGGAGATGGAACAAGGAAGAAAAAGCCTGGCATTGCCCTGGCGCTAGCCGGCTCGGCGGCAAGCCACCAAAGCCACCGCAGGGGCAGGAGTTCCACAGAATGACGAAATGGCCCCGCTTGGCGCACTCGCCAAGTGGATGCCGGAGCGCGACCGTCGCCCCACATTTGGCCAACGACGTCCAAGGAAACGCGCTCGTATTGGATCTTTTTTGGGACGACAAACCAAACCGCCAAGGGAAAATTCACAGGAAAACACCAACCCACCACCACCTTGGCCTTTTGCCTTTTGTCCAAGATGTTTGCCGCCAGTGCAACCTCCAGTTAGGGGCCGTCCGGGCTGGGCCCGTGGCCCTGTTCTCGGGGCAATGGTCATCTACAGTGTGCGGTCGGCGTGGGTTTCGGCAAGGGAAGTACAGGGGAAGAGGGAAAGGGTCCAAGGACAGCTGCAGAGATGGAGATCCCGATCGATTTGACGTTGCAATACGCCACGCCCACGGCTCCGGCGCTCTTGGCCTGACACCCTGAAAGATTTTCATGCCCGAATGGCACACTGTTGACACGGTGTGTGGGAATGTGCAGAGCTGGAGGGCTCCAGTGTAGGTAGGGTTTTCGGTCCCCCCATCTTTTACCTTGAGTTTGCAAGCTGCAAGCACCGATCTTTCCTTTTCCATATGACTCCAGCCTTCCCACGGTCGCTGCCGACTTCCCAATCATCACCGTCTTTCCTCAAAGTCTACCGGGTGCTTTGTCAAACCTGACAGCACCATTTCTCCCCTCCCACACCCGCACTTTTCACCCATATTTGATGCCCACGAGCTTCTTTCTCTAGGCCCTCCTTTTCACCGGTTTGCGAGGTGAAGCGCCCTAAAACGGGCCTGATAGTAGCCAACCATGTCGACCCCAAGGCCTCCAAATACGTTCAACGAGAAGCCCATGGATGAGACTCCTTTGAGTTCGAGGGACTTGCAAGATGACGAGTCCAGAGAACAGGCGAACCGCCTGAACGACGACCTCGAGCTCCTTCGCGCCGAGCGATACGTCTCTAACCAGGATCACGATCTTGCCTCTCGGAGATCCCGAGACCGCCGCCTGGGGGATATCCAGGAAGAGGATGCCTTCAATCAGCCGGTCGATGAGCCTCCTCAGACCACACAGCAAAAGCCGACCACAGCCAACAAGCTCTGGACCAAGATCAAGAAGTTTCCACGCATCATCCGCTACTTTGTCTACTGGGCTCCTGTTGCCGGCATCTTGCTAGCCCCAGTCATGATCGACTCGTATGCCTTCGCTAATACAGAGCTGGCCGTGGGCGGATATGGCGGAGTGCTGCTGTTCTGGTTCGGCATCTGGCTCGAGATTGTCTGGGGAGCTCTATGGGCGTCGCGCGTAATCTGCGCCGTCATGCCCTACATGTTCAAGTTCTTCGCCAAGGCTGTCGGGTCGAGCAACCACAAGAAATGGAAGGATGTCGGCCGCAACCTCGAGCTCCACGCCTCGCTCTTCGTCTGGATGCTAGCCGTGCTGTGTTCCTTTTTGCCCATCGTCAACAACAAACGTGCCGTCAACGGCGGTGACGAAGACAGGACGCCTTTTGTTCAGTGGATCGACATTGCGCAAAAAATCATCATCTCGCTGTTCGTGCTGTCTGCGCTCAACATCGTCGAGAAGGTCTTGATCCAATGGATTGCGAGCTCATTCCACATGCGCACTTATGCGTACCGCATCGAGGCCAACAAGCGGGACATTGAGTTCCTGATCAGCATGTACACGTACTCGCGCAGTAAGACAGACGACGACTCGGTCTGGAACCCGACACACTCGGGCGGCACCAGCGGCGACAAGACGCCCATGAGGGCGCTGCAGCAAAACGCGCGTCAGGCGTGGAGCCGCTTCGGCACCGTGGCCAACCGCGTGGCCGGCGACTTCACGGGCCGCAAGGTCCTCAACGACAACCACCCGCGCAGGGTCGTGCTGGAGCTGCTCCGCACGACCCCAACCAGCCAGACGCTGGCGCGCATGCTGTTCCGCTCCATGGTTTCGCCCGACCGCGACACGCTCGTGCTCGACGACTTTCTGCGCGTCTTCGAGGTCGAGGAGGCTGAGGCTTGCTTTGGCATCTTCGATCGGGACCTCAACGGCGACATCTCGATGGAGGAGCTCGAGCTGGCTAGCAACGAGATCCACCTCGAGAAGAAGGCGATCGCGGCGTCGCTCAAGGATCTGGACTCGGTCATAAAGAAGCTCGACAGCGTCTTCGTCTTTATCATCCTCATCATCTCCATCATCGTCTTCATTTCAATCCTGTCGGGTTCGGCGGCCGCAGCGCTCGGCTCGGCCGGCACCACGCTGCTGGGCCTGGCGTGGATGCTTCAGGCGACGGCGCAGGAGTTCCTGCAGTCCATCATCTTTGTGTTCGTCAAGCACCCCTTTGACGTCGGCGACCGGGTGCGCGTCTACGGCAACACGGGCACGGGCATGCAGGGCGACGACTACTACGTGCAGGAGATCTCGCTGCTGTACACCGAGTTCAAGAAGATGGAGGGTCATGTGGTGCAGGCGCCCAACTCGTTGCTCAATAACCTGTTTATACTCAACCAGCGCCGCAGCAACGGGCTGGCGGACCCGATCGAGCTCAAGGTCCGGTTTGGGACCAAGAACGAGGTGATCGAGGAGCTCAAGGCGCGCATGCTCGACTTTGTCATGGAGAACAAGCGCGACTACGCGCCGCGCATCATCACCGAGGTGCGCACTATCGACGAGGTCTGGTCCATGACCTTCAACATCATCTTCTTCCACAAGTCGAGCTTCCAGAACGAGCTGGTGCGGCTCAACCGCCACAACAAGTTCGCCGCCGAGCTGATGCGCCAGATGGCCGATCTGGGCATCGAGGGGCCGCGCAAGCACCAGCCGGGCGGCGCGCGCGACTTGCCCTTCTTCTGGTCCAACGTCCAGCCGCCCAGCTACGACTCGGCCACCACTTATCCATCCGGCCCCGCCCCCCACGGCGGCCACCAGCACCCAGACGTCACAAGCCCCACGGCCGGGGCCGGCAGCAGCTCCGCCGGCGGTGACCTGCACCACTCCAGCAGCAGCAGCAGCGCCCCGCCCGCCCCCGCCATGGTGACGCCCAGCTCCGAGTCCTTCCTCCGGCGGCGCCGCGCCTCTAGCCGCGCCACGTCGGTGCTCGACGCGGGCCCGGCCTTTGGCGACGTCTACGATAGCCGGCGGTCCGACACGGTGGCGCACCTGGCGCGGCTGCAGAGCATGCGCGCGGCGCAGCACCACCACCCGGACCGGCTGCACAGCGTCCGGTCCGGGGGCGGGGATTCGGAGCACGGCGGGCGGAGGAGCTCGAGCGCCAGCCGCGCCGCCGCCGCCTCGGGCAGGTTCTTTGGACGCCGGCCCACGATCCCGGTCAACCCGGGAATCGCCGAGTCGTCGGCTGAGCCGCCCATCGAGCTGAGGCAGCAGTCGCCCCTGCCGCCTCAGCCGTCGGCGACGCGGGGTGATGTCGAGCGCATGGTCTGATGGACAGGGTTATGACGATGATTTTTGGTCTCTTTAGTTTCAACCTCTCGGACGCATTGACGTATGGGAAATGGTATCTTTATGTAATGTAATCAGGGTAGTGAACTCGCCTTGACTTTAACACCTTGTGTTTGATGCTCACCCACCCCCTGCTATCACAGATGTCTCGAGCCCAGCACGAGATGGTAATTGTACTCGCGGCCCATTGGCTGTGGCTGTGGCTGTTGTGTGGTTGCATGATAGCGGGGCTGTCAGCACGGTGGGAAACGTCCCGTCAATGGCGACGCCAATCGCCTCACGTCAGCTAAAGGCCGCCTAGCTACAGCCTCAGATTTGAACTTATGCGTACCCATCATCCCGGCCATCCAGTCAGATCTCAAAAACACTTCTAATACCATTCTAGCCGACATGGATTCGGGCGCGTCTACGTCGGCCTCGGGCCCTTCTCCCGAGGGGCCCGGCGACGTCTCACACCCGCAGAAGCATAAGCGAGTCCGCATCCTGCTCTCGTGCGGCCCATGCCGCACCTCCAAGCTGAAGTGCGATCGCGCCTCACCGTGCAGACACTGCGTCAGAAAGGGCCTGCCGCCAAACGAATGTGTGTATGCGCCGCCGCCCACGCGCCGTCAGAGGAATGGCAACCGTACTGGGCCTGCAGGCGGCGGAGTGGCGGGCGTTGGTGCGGGATCCAAGGGTGTCGCGGGCCGGCTCCGCAGGCTCGAAAGGATGGTGCGGGACCTGATTGAGAGCGGCGGCGAGGGGGCAGGGGACGGCGGACTGGCAGCTGCCATCCAGGAGCTGGAGGAGTCGCGGCGGGCGGCGTCGACCAAGGTGGTGTCTGCGGACTCCAAGAGAGAGAGTGAAGAGGCAGAGACCAAAGAAGACGGCAACTCTGAGGAACAAGGCAGCGACGGCGCGGCGGCAGAAGCAATAAAAGTGGGCGAACGGCTCGGGGCCGAAAACACGGGCCAGGTGGTTCAGGGCGAGCGGGCGGTGACGTGGGTCGGGGCGACGCACTTTCTGGCCATGTTGGACGACATCGAGGACCTCAAGGCCTACTTTGACGCGCCCGAGGAGGACGGTGACGACGACCAGTCGCCCGGGTCGTGCGGGGCCTTCACGGGCGAGACTCAGTCGCCCGAGATGGTGATACTGGGCAAGTCGATGCCGCGGACCCGACAGGACCTGCTCGACATGATACCGCCCCGCGCCGTGCTGGACCGGCTGATGATGATTTTCTTCAGCATCAACACGCCATCGGCGCACACGGTGCACCGCCCGACCTTTGCGCGCCGGTACCGCGACTTCTGGGCAGACCCCGACGCGGCGCCGCTCGAGTGGCTGGCCGTGCTGCTCCTGATGCTCTGCGCGACGGTGCACACCTCGTCCTTTGCGTCGCCGCACGAGCTGCAGCCGCTGGGCGCCGAGCACCCGGACGCGGCCCTGCGGCTGCTGCGCCAGTACCGCGCCGGCGCCGGCTGGGCCCTCGTGGCCGGCAAGTATACGTCGCCGAACCTGGTGAGGCTGCAGGCCTTCGTCATGTACGTCGAGACCGACTTCATGCTGCCGAACCACTCCAAGATGACGTGCTACCTGCTCTCGGGCACTAGCGTGCGCCTCATGCTCAAGCTGGGCCTGCACCGCGACCCGTCCAAGCTGGCCGGTGGCGGCGGCGGTGGTGGCGCCATCACGCCCTTCGAGGTGGAGCTGCGGCGGCGGCTGTGGAACATGGCGTCGCAGATCGACATGCTCGTCAGCTTCCACGTCGGCCTGCCGTCCATGATCTTGGGCATCGAGTCGGACACGGAGCTGCCGCGCAACCTGACCGACGACGACCTGGACGAGCACATGGCCGCGCTCCCGCCCGGCCGCCCGGACTCGGACTACACGGCCATGACGTACCCCATCTGGAAGGGCACCATCTCGCGCGTCTTTGGCCACGCCGCCCGCTTGGCCCACTCCATCGGGGCCCCGCCCCTGTCCGAGGTCGCGCGCGTTGATGCCTTGCTCGAGGACGTGTGGCGCCGCGTGCCGCACTTCATCAAGGCCTGCCCGCTCTCTGATCTTGTCGCCGAGCCGCCGGGCCGCGTCGTCCAGCGCTACGCCATCACCCAGCACTACCGCAAGACCCAGTGCGTCCTACACCGGCGCTACCTCGCGGAGCCGAGGAGGAAAGGGCAAAGCGGCGGCGGCGGCGAGTGCAATAGCAGCAGCGACAACGACGACGAGCGACAAAAGGACTACTCGCGCCGCGCCTGCCTCGACGGAGCCCTGACCATGATCAACTTCCAGCGCATCGTTTACGACGCCACGCGCCCGGGCGGCTTACTACACCGCGCCTGGTTCCTGAGCCCGGTGGCCCGCCACGACTACCTTCTGGGCTCCGCTATCGTCTACGTGGCCGTGCAGAACGGCCACTACCGAGACGATGACGACGACGACGACGGTGACCGCGGTGGCCCGGCGACCGCCGACGAGAAGGACGGCAAGAACGCGCCGCCGCCGCCACTGCCCACCAAGAAGGCCTTGATGGACGCTCTACTCGAGTCTTACCGGCTCTGGGTGCTGACGAGCGAGGAGCAGCCCGACGCGCGCCCCGCGGCCGAGATGCTCCGCGTCATGGTCCAGAAGGTGAGTCCGGACGCGGAGAGCGGCCCGACGCCGCAGTCCGTCGCCGGCGAGCAGGCGTCGCTGGAAAGGATGCGGGCCGAGACCGCCGACGTCCCGTGGTCCATCGCCATGCCGGGACATCAGAAGACGCCGGCGCCGGCGCCGGCACCGCAGCAGGAGCCGGACCTATGGGCGATGCCCACGCGTTCGGCCCCGACTGGCAGGCCCTGGGAGCAATACGCGGCGGACGTCATGGAATATGCGCCGCCGCTGTCGAGCCTGTCTCTCGCCGACAGCAACGGCGACGCCGTCTTCTCCGGCGCGGGGGCGGACAATCCCTACGGCGGCTCGTCAGCCACCACCGGCACCCCCACGCAGCAGGTGCCCATGCACGCGAGGAACTTCGGGCTGAGCCCGGCCGTGCCGATGGCGGTGGACGGCGATGCGGGCAGGAGCAGCAGCGAGGCGGGCACGCCGTGGATGGTGCCCATGGATACGGAGGCGCTGGACTGGGTAAGCCCCCCGACCTACATACAACCCCCATTGGCCCCCTACGGCTCCCCCTGCTGACCGCCGGACCCACGCCTCGTAGACCCTGATGGACGACGTGATCCGGGCCAATATTGAAATCACGACCGAGTGGGGGCCCAGCGCCGACCAGCCGCAGCCGCCCCTGACTGAGGTGGAGCTGGACTTCGATCCACAGTTCTGGGTCCGGTGAACAGGACACACACGAACAGATGGAGAGCGAGAGAAGCCCGAACCCCCAGGAAAAGTCGGGGCGGAGTCGGTCAGGGCGTCGGAAACTCCTCCTTTCCGAGCCAGCCCATACGGAAAGCAAAAGCCCGTCACAAGACTACGCGCGTATGTGCTGGCCTCGCGTGTCGACCAGCGCGGGATGGTGGAGAAACCAGACGATCCCAAAGAAAACTAGGTATATACATACCCCTCCCTCGGCATGGCAGGGGGAGGGAGGGAGGGATATGTTCTAGAACGGGGTCCTTTGGGCGGGACCGTCCGTGGAGCGGACGCACGCACGCACGCACGCGGAAAAAGGGCAAGGCCTCGAAAGGACCGACGACGACCCCCCCGCGGCGGGCTTGGCGATACCCGCCAACAAGCTCGCCCCGTGCCATGTTCCCGTGACCGCCAAGTCCAGTTATTCTATCCCGCCGTAGCGGTGACAGGACAGAGCGCTGATGCGGGGGGGCTGGGGCGTGTGCGAACTGTGAACTGTGGTAGATCTGTGCCGATAGTCTGGTAGCTGGCGCGGTCAATGTACCAGTACGACGATGGAGTCGCAGCAGCGGTGGCAGCCGCGGTCTAGATTTTGTTTTGTGGCCAGAGACCAAGCAACCAGTTGCAAAAAGGGAAAAGCTCTCGGTCATCAAATAGGAGATTGAGATTGCCGTGACTTCCTCAGAGCCTCATCCGTCCTCGCCCCGGCTGCTGGTAATCGGGGCAAGGGGAAAGCTTGTAGCTGGGCATTGGCAGCGCCGCTAGGGTAGACCTAATCTAAAGGTGGTCACGTTGCCATGTGTTCGTTTTGGGGAGAGGTGTCTGTATGACAGGAAGTGAGCCTGACGCGCACTTGTGTAATTAATGTGTGTGTGTGGCCAACCAAATGCACCATGATGCCGTGTAATGACGCCTCAATTGGATGGGGGTGCGGATTGCTAGGTGCACCCAGGCACCAGAAAATAGGCTGGCCAATAAGGGAAGCGTTGGCGTAATGATTGCTCGAACGGTTCGAATAAGCCTTGGTGGCCAGTATGGCTCCGCGGAGATGCCAGATAAAATCTCGGGCTGGGGTTGGACAGAGGGTCAGCCCAGCGAAAGAGAAAAAAAAAACCATGACAGGATGGATGGACGCAATGAATTCTGCTTTTTTTTTTGCTGTTCTCCCGGGCTTTTTTCGGTTCCGCCAGATCGGGATTATGGTTACCCCATTTGTACGTAATTTGCACTAGGCTCCCGGCGGTGGGCTGGCGTGATGTTTTTCTTTTCTTGGTGCTGGTTTTGCTTGTCCTGCCTTGATGAGTTCTAAAGGCATAGCGTGATGTCCAGCAAATGTGTCCGCAAGCGTATCAAAGAGGCAATCAACGTATCACGGTGCAAAAACAGTGCACACACCTGGCGGACCAAAAAGTCGATGCACCTACCAACCAACTCTCGAGGACCAATACAGCCTCACAACGAGAGACCAAAGCCAAGATGAGGTGCCATGTGACTTTCCATGCGGTTTGTGCTGCAGCCATCGTGCAGCCGTTCGTTCCCCGCCGGAAAAGGGAGGGAATAGGGTTGGTTGGCTGGCCAGGTCGATGCGCATCCCTCCTTGAAAAAAGACTAGCTTTCCGAAGCAACGCATTTCAGCCTCGTCTTTTTGTTGAATGAAAAAAAAAAGAGGAGGCCGACTTCGGGCTCGAAGTTCTGTTTTAGGGAATTTCCACCCGCTCGTATTTTTTTACGTATTTCGCACCCAAGAAATCTGCGCGGCGCTGGAACCCGTTACGTTAGTCAAATCCACCAACCCCAAGTCGGATTGATTCCACCCCCCTTTTTTTTCGAGGTCAGCAGACCTGAAGTCGCGATGCGTCGTGAGGGAAAGCGACTCCACCATGGATTGGAAAGCCGCTGGCGGACGGACTAGGATTGGGGTCGACAGCAAAGAAAGACATTGGCAAACCCGCCAGCAACAAACCCGCCTCGCAAGCCCGAGTGTCGGCGCGCCCCGGCTGCCGGGCTGTCTTTCCGATAGGACTCTCGTGGGGTCAGAAGGTCGCGATATCAGCTCCCCGGCAGCTCAGCCGCCATCCGGCTCGGGGTTGGGACATGGAGGCCCCTGGCTTTTGTTGCTGCTTGGGGCAGCAGCGTCCCAAGCCGTCCCAGCCTGCCACTTTGCCAGTCCGTGGTTGCTGTGCGTGTAAATGTGGTGCGCGCGTGTGTGTGCGACTCGGCCAGCCAAGGCCTATAGCTGCCACCTCCACCGATTACCTAAAAGACTGAAGGCCGCTGGGCCGGCGGTGAAGTTTTGCTGCTCTCTATCGCTTCTCACTGCTGACCGGTCACACCGGCCCGAGGCGAATCCCCCAGGGAACGGGGCATCGTTATCTCTGCGCAGTGCGTACACGAGAAGCGCAGCCACCCCGCCATTGGCCAACTGCGGGAGGCGGAACTAGCAGGAACTCCTTGCAGGGGGCGTCGATGTGATGTGTGTTTATCCTTGTCCCCACCCCCTTGGACATGCACCACCCCTTGGACATTCGACACATGGAAGCAGCTCAACCAGCTACTGGATTGATTGTGCGCGTGCCCTTTCCTCCGCGGGAAGCGTGGCGGGGCCCTGCGGCTTTGCGTTGCTGGAGCCCAAAGACTGGCAGCTGGATGCGATGCAACTGACTTTGAACTCGCCCCTTTTTTTTTCTTCTCTCGGCTCCTCTGATGCTGATGGCGCCCGGCTTTTTGTCGCTGTTACCCCGGATATCGCCCACGCACGCAAGCACGTTCCGCCCGCTAGTGGTTAGCCTGCTTGGCTTTCGTTTGTAACCCGGTCCTTGTTAGTCCTACTTTTTTTTTTTTGTCTTTTTTTTTCTTCACTGTCATTCGGATCCAGGCATTCAAGTTCCTGCATCCACTTCACCTTGAGAGCCCAAACCCCGCAGATGAGATGGAATGTAAAGAGAAGAAGAAGAAGAAGAAAAAATAATGCGCACGGTGTACACAACATACCACACCAGTGTCTTGGACCACTGGCCAACGCGATAAGCACACCGGCCAGGATAACATGGTAGTCAGGGGCTGATTGGATCGCCGATAGGCTCCCTATTCCTCCTAATTTATATGATAGCCAGCCGGCAACCACCACCTTGGCATGCTGCGTAACCGGTCTGCCAGTGACGCCTGCTGACTGTGATGTCACAGTATCTGTACCTTGGTCGCGGCCTGGGCGTGGCCCGATGGCATGTCTCAAAAGTAGCTCTCCGCACCACATACCGCGCCCTGCGATATCGCGACCGTATGTACCGTACATACAGCACATGTGCCGCCAGCCGACCAACAACCTCCCTCTCCTTTGCGTACGACTCTCCCATGCTGGGGCCCTTTTCCGCTCCCGCGCCTGATTAACCCCGCCGGCCGGGTGCGTGTGAGCTCAATTTTTTTTTCTGCTTGGGATTCCCCATCCGCCGCGCCACGCCCCCCCTTGTCGGCCCCCCACATTAGGGCGGCCGTTGACACTGAAGCTGTCTGGTCTATCAAATATCGTGTGTTCGTCCCGTCGTCCGATGGGGGAGGTAGGCAGGCAGGCAGCTAGGGCTGGCCAGGGTGGCTGTCTGCTACCTCCTTACCTGGGTACAGGCCACTGCCTAGGTCACCGGGCCACAACGCGCACTTTCTGGACAGCTCCTGTTTATTCTCTATTTTATCTCGTTCCTTCTTTTTTCTTCTCCCTGCCGTTCCCCATCCCTCACCCCTCCTCTTCCGCGCCCGCGGCTCCAGTGGCTTTCTTCTTGTCATGCACTGCCCCGCAGCCGAACGAGGCCCCGCTAATATCACTGATAAAGGCCTGCAGGCCTGGGCCTTGGCCATTGAGCTTCACAAGCGTGCTCCCTTGGCCCCCGAAAGAAGAAGGAAAAAGAAAGAAGAGCGTTTGCACCCCAGACGGGAAATTCGCCCATTAACACCCACCAAGCGAAGCCCATCGCGGCTTCCCCAAGGCCGCTGCCGGCTCCTTTTTTTTTCTTTTTTTTTTTGTCGTTTGCCGCCCGCTTCCTTTTTTTCCTTTTCTTTTTTTGTGTTCCTGTGGCGCCGACTCCATCTTTTCCTGTTTGTCATCTACTTCTGCGCCGCTTCTTTTGGTTCTTATTTTATTTTTATTCTCCCTGCCATCCCCTAAGGTACCTACCTCCGCGTGCACGCCCCTATATCGGACCTAACCTTGTGCCCGTCTTCCAAAAACTCACATCGTCTCAAACCGGTTCGTGCTTGTTAGAGGACTTTCTTCTCCGCCGGGCCCATCTCCACCTCAATATTTTTTGTTGGTCTTGGTGCAACATCCAGGTTGTTACTGTCAAACAAGCGCTCGGCCAGACTGAACTGTCGTGTTCCCGTCCGCAGCCACCTGTTGGGGGAGCTCCTAAATCGGATCTCTTATCAGTCGCCGCTCGACTGCTGCGGAACGGGACAATCCAGTGACTGACGCTCCCAGTTTGCTCAGGCGACACTCGTCACCGTGTCTGTCACCGTTCGCGAAATCTGGGACACCAAAACGAAGGAGGGAACAAAGTGAGAATTTCACTGCAGCTCGGACAGCTCAGGCCAACCTGAGGCACGGATAGAGAAAGCAAAGCAAAGAGAAGGAAACAGGTCGGAGAGCCTGCGCAAGCCGGGACGGGCAGGACTGATTCAGCAAGGAATTGAGCTAGCCTTGAACCTAGGTTGACGGGGCCTTGAGAGCCGCATCCTCGCTCGGGATCAGGACCTGGACTCAGCCTGGCGCCTGAGCCCGCCCGAGGTGCTTCGTCTCGTTGGACCGAGCCAGGCCGCCTGCATCAAATGCCCGGCGAAATCCTAGCAGACCTTGCCATACGGCCAGTGGTCTCAAATACAGGACCCCGCCCGGTCAAGGCCATTCACTCGGGGACAGCCTCGGCCGCGCCGACGACGACAACCACCTCCCCCAGGAGCCTCTCTGTCGCCATCAACAGCGGCGCATACACCCACCAGAGCCACCCGGCAAATACCCACTGCCAGCAGCAGCAGCAGCAGCCGCCCTTGGGCGCCGAGGTCGAGCAGCACCTGCGCTGCCACAAGCACAAGCTGTCGTCGTACTCGGACGGCAGCCCGCTGAGCCAGTCGCGCAACAACTCGCTGACCTTCCGCCCCGCCAAGCGCCAGATGGCGACCCCGGACCAGACCATCGCCGTCATCAACGCGAGCGGCCGCCAGACGGCCTCGCTGATCCGCTACTGCACCGCCGTCGGCTTCAAGGTGCGCGCCCAGCTGCGCAACACCGACGGCGTCATCGCCACCGAGGTCTGCACCAACCCCAACGTCGAGGTGCTCGTCGGCGAGCTCTACACGCGCGGGCCCTCGGCCTCCAAGTCGGACGTCTCGGCCGAGGGCCCGCTCTCGGGCATCGGCGTCAACCGCGCCCTCGTCTCGGAGCTGTTCCGCGGCTGCCAGCTCGCCTTCATCAACACCACCTTTTACGGCGACGAGGTGGCCATCGGCAAGGCCGTCGCCGACGAGGCCAAGCGCGCCGGCATCCAGCACTACGTCTACTCGTCCATGCCCGACCACGCCGCCTACGACCCGGCCTGGCCGAGCCTGCCGCTGTACAGCTCCAAGCACAAGGTGGAGGAGTACGTGCGCTCCATCGGGCTCGAGGCCACCTTTGTCTACGCCGGCATCTACAACAACAACTTCACCTCGCTCCCCTACCCGCTCTTCTGCATGGAGCTCCAGCCCGACGACGGCTCCTTTGCGTGGCAGGCACCCTTCCACCCGGACGCCAAGCTGCCTTGGGTCGACTGCGAGCACGACTTTGGCACCGCCATCCTGTCCATCTTTAAGGAAGGGCCCCGACGCTGGGGCGGCGGCCGCCGCGTGCCCATCGCCTTCGAGATGCTGACGCCGCGCGAGGCCTGCCGCCGCTTCGCAAAGGGCGTGGGCCGGCCGGTCCGGTACGTGCGGGGCCCCATCGAGGTCAAGGTCAAGATACCCGAGGGCTACCGCGTCCAGCTCGACATGGTCGAGCGCCTGTACTCGCTCGGCGCCGACGACCCGGCCCGCCAGCCCCCCTACTTTGGCGACCGCGAGATGGAGGCGGCGTGCCCGGGCGCCGCGCTCGAGCTGTGGGGCGGCCCGCGCCTGCTCGAGGAGTACGCGCGCGAGGAGTTCATAATCGAGGAGCAGGCCAACGGGCTCAAATGGATGCTGGACGACGGCCACAGGAATAGCGGCGCGCCACACTCCAACCACCACAATAGCCACCACCACAACGGCGACCCGGGCGTTCACCACGGTAACGGGAACGGCCACAGCAACGGCCATAGCCACGACAGGGGGGAGGAGGACGGCGGGAGGGAGGTGACGCAGGCTTCGGACGACGACGACGACGACCGAGACGACGACGACGATGACGACGATGATGACGATGGGCTCGTCATGACCGGACCGAAGCGTCTTGAGGAGAAGTGGCTGGCGTGAAGCCTTCGCGGTAGTCGCGAAACTCTCGCCTGGGGTTCCACCTTTTTGACCTCAACCATCATCCCACCTCCATCTTCTCCCCTCTCTTTCTCACGAGCCACGCCACATTTCATGCCGCAACGTCAGGCGCATCATCAAAGCGATTTTCCCTTCTTTTCCCTCTGCATATCCTCTTTTTAGCTCTCCACGCACCAACGAAAAACAAGAGATGAGCGAGTAGGCGGGGAGTCCCGATTATCCCACACAGTTTGTGGTTCATTTTCATCAGTCGATATGTGATGATCAAGTCGAGGGTAACGAAACCCGGGAAAAAAAGAATAAAGGACACTGGAGAAAAAATATCAGACATCTGCCCCTGGGCCATTGGGCGAGTCCTAATAGTCTCGCCGCGCTGTCTTCTGTTGGGGTTTCCGGGGGCGTCTTCGTTCCCACTTCTGGCAGGACTTGGTTGTCCAGAAGCAGAGACAGCCACACACGATCAGCGAGGAAAGCCGCGTGTTGTTAAAGTTGTTATCGTTGTGTTTATTTTGAGAAGTCCATCGGCCACATGTGCAAGGGAAACAAAAGCTGTCGAGAAAATCGGTCGTATAGCGTAGCATTTGAATGGGAACACCCATACCAAGGAAATCCCGCGCCTGTGCCAGGTGTTTGTTCGTCTTGTCTGGTCGGTCAAGAAGAGGTGGGCGCTCGGGGGGTGATTTATCGTGCTGGCTTCCTGCTGGCAGTCTTTGCATCCGAGTATCGGACTCGAGGACATCTCCGCGGCCAGTGCTGCATGCCAGCTGGCGCGGAAGAATTTTCTCTCCCAGGGCTGCTTCTATGTTAGCCCGTCCATTGGCTGTCAGGAACTGCAAAGATCTACAGCTGCATTGCATTTGATCTCGGGTTTTATCCCAGTCGCCTTCTTCGAATTGGCGGAACTGCCGGCCGTCGTCAAGGCTACTGTGGGTTTTGTTTATTTGCCTATCGGGTATCTTGTGCATCATGCCTATCCAGTCCTCAATCACTGTGAGAACGTCCGCCCCTATTTTGGGGACAACCTGCTCCTGCTTCGTCCCTAGATGCGTGACCGGACATCATTTGCTGCTGCGTGTCTCGCTACATCCAGCATAGCAGCGCTGCATGCTACCACACCGTCATGTCCTGGACATTGCTCATCAGCCAGCTTTTTAGCTGGTGGTTCCGAGCCCGGCCGGTTACGGAATGCGGATGGCTTGCATCCTCGGAGATGTCTCTTCTGGCCACTCCGCGGCGCAGGAGTCCATCAAGCAGCCAGGCCCACCATACGGCCACCGATATGAACGAATCGCTCCTCTGCAGGAGCTCTAGCTCGGTGCACTGGCCAGGCCTTCGATCAGGTACTTCTTCTTGGCCACCGTGACGAGTGGCACACCGGGAACCTTGCGTATCCTCCTCTTCAGGTCCCTGTTCAGAGTCGCAGCGGTTAGTCAGCCGAAAGTAAGAGAAAGGAGCATCTCCGAAGAGGACAAAACAACGGGCCACCCACCTATCGTTTGTCGCAACCAAGTAAATCCTGTTCTTGACCACCCTATCAACGAGGCAGTCGTCGGCGTAGACCTTGTGGTCGCACTTTAGCCGCTGCCACCTCTCGTCCCGCGCAATGCGGAGCGCGATTCTGTACTTGGGCCCCAGCTTCTCGAGCTCGGCCATGACGCAGTCGGTGATGATGGGGCGCGCCGACGCGTACAGGCAATCCATCAGGCCCTCGAGCAGCTCGATCTTGGCGCCGACCGTGTGCGTGATGAAGGACGTGTCGACCAGGACGTTGTAGGGCGGCACCAGCGCCGTGTTGTGAGCGAAGAAGAGCGCCGACGACACCTGCGGCACGCTGCGCACCACCTCGCCGCTGCCGGGCGCCGCCGTCGACGATGGCGCGGCCGCGGCGCCGTCCTTGGTCTTGCCAGAGCCGCCCGTCGGCGTCTTGGGCTTGAGGCGCTCGTCGCGCTTGCCGATCAGGCGCTTGGTCTGTTGGGCGGCAAGGAAGGGGAAGGTCAGTGGGCGTCAGGGGTATCGGGGGACTGCTGGGAATCTGGGACAGCGGCCACTCACGGTCGCAAACTTCCTGGTCCGTTTGGCGACACCCATCCTAGCAGTGATGAGCCGAGAGGCAGAACTGTTGTCAAATATGGTAATGTCGCGGGTGGAGGGGCTCAAGCTGGGCGGCGCATCGGTGTTTCCTGCACAGTGGACAGAAAAAAATCCTTATCGGGGAGTGCCAAAGTTTCTTATCAACCGTGGGTCCATACGGGCAGTCAGACAGTGGCCAGCAGTTCAAGGTGCAAAAGACAACCTCGAACACCTGAGCTGGGCGATTCGCCATGCCGGTATTTACCGGTATCTCGCTCAGCTACCTTGTCAGCATGGGCGGGGTGTGTTACCGTCGCGGGGTTGACTGACATGCCATCTGGCGACAATGTGCAATCTTTGGCACAATTATCTATCGTGCCCACCAGACCTGCCGACTACATCGCCAACATCAGCCGTCCTGGATACATTCCGACAGGATGGGTGACGGCCATTACGGGGATGCGCCTAGGGCCGCGAGTGAGGCGGGAATTCCGTTCAACAAGCATCCCTGCGAAAATCTTCAATTTGACGGCATCTGGCAGATCAAGCCTCAAGCTGGCGCTTCCGCGATTCTCGGCTGTTATCGCGCTATATTCCCTGGACTCTGGACGCTATTCCCGCGGGGAAGACTATGTGAAGTCTGCAAATTGATTCACTTCGACCTTTGGGCCACTTTCTGTCGAGAGGTCAACATCACCGCTTTGAAGACTCTCCGGCCAGCACTCCCAGCCGAGATCACATATTCCGTCGCGTACGTCTCGAGCCATGCAAGCCAACCTCCTTGTGCTCACGGGCAACATTCAGTGGCTATCCAGGGGGAATCCCCTTTACACCTTGAACTTTGCATCGACGTGAATGTTGAGGCCACACCATTCAATAAGTCCCATTTCCGCCGCACATATCAAATCAATCCAGTGGACGGTAAGGCTCCCAATCGACCATTTTCCTTCCGGCACTGTCCCCATTCCGACTTCTAATACCTCATACTCACACTTCTTGCACCAAGATGATCTTGCGTCGTGGCTTAGCGTTGAGCCCCTGCAGCCATTCTTGAGCGCAAATGACATCAGCCTTGTTCAGTCCGCAATAGCAGATTGTGAACGGAACCACGAAAGATGCCGAACACGAACCTCCGAGACCTTTCTTCCCACACGGTTGATAGATTTGGGCGCTCGCGGATCCGGGTCAAACCCGACACTGGTCGTCACCGCGCAAAGCCCCAGGACTAGAAGCAAAAGGAAATATGCAACTTTAAGTTATTGCTGGGGCTCGTCCTCTGAGGCGGCCTCGCAACTTACGACCACAAGAGAGACCTTCACTCAACGTTCCAACGGCATCCCTTTAAGCACAATGCCCAATGTGGTGCAGGACGCCATCGCCGTCTGCCACGCAATAGGTATCCGGTATCTGTGGGTTGACGCCCTGTGCATCCTTCAAGATGACGGGGAAGATTGGGCTCGAGAGAGCGAGCTGATGGGCAAAGTATACGCGCACTCATACCTAACTATTTGCGCCGCCAATTCCAATTCGTGTCGACAGCCATTCCTCCAGCGGGTACACGCCAGCTCGAAATTTTTGGCCTTTCGATCCGAAACTTATCCTCACCTGGACTCCAAGCGCATGCTATTCCAAGGGCGCTTGCATAAAGGAGATATCAATGGCCATTGGGGAAACATACCGGGCTTGCTCGACAGCAAATGGTTCGACCGGGGGTGGGTTCTTCAGGAACGACTGCTCCCTTTACGGTGTCTAGTATTCGGGGACCAGCTCTTCATCATCTGCAACGAACGCATCATATCCGGGGCGGGGGGGGATGTTGATGATAATGTACAAGGGGAGATGACAATCGCGGGCGTCATCGACAAGACGAAGCGCATCCTTGAGCACCACCGTCAGCCGGTGCGGTTGGCGGCGCGGTTCTGGGACCATATCGTCACGACGTCCACGAGACTAGAGCTCACGAACCCGACCGATCGCTTGCCATCTCTAGCAGGACTGGCCCAGCAATTCGGAGCGGCAATGGAGTTTCTACCGTCCGACTACCTGGCGGGACTGTGGATGCCTTTTTTGCCCACGTCCTTGCTCTGGGTCCCGGAAGGGATGAGTAGTTGGAGATCCATTGCTGATCGCCTCGAAGCCCTGCGCAGCCCAAGGTCGTCTGGAGCCGCGTCGTGGAGCCCGCTTTCACTACGCGGCTGTCACTTCACTGGCAACCCCAAGATATCTCTTGATGGCCACATAAGGACAGAGTGTGAATCCATCAAGGGAGCTGCGACTGCCAACGGCTCAAACTGGTATGCCACCTCCACCGGGGCCCGCCTAACGGTGACGGCAAGAGCAATCCATATGCCGCTGGACCTCAGAGGCCTTTCCCATGACGTGTGGGCGCGGCGGGTCACCAAGGATGGCAGGTGCGCGGCCTACTGTTACTTTGACTTCGGTGAGACAGAGCCCTCTGAATTCGGAGAAAACACCCTGCTTCTGCTCCTCTGCAGCTCCTGCTCAGGCGGCAGCGCGGACTTGTACGATTGGGGCGACGGAGCCAAGCTTGACGACGACGACGAGGACGATGAGGACGATGAGGACGATGAGGACGATGTTATCTTGACCGAAAATATCCGCCGCGTTAAGAGTGAATATTCACAATGCGGCCCCGCGCAGCTAGACTATGCGATCCCTCCGATGGAGGAATGCTTGTTATGCCAAACTCCTGGGCTGAACAGACGTGCCTGGGGCTTGGTCCTCCACCCGGCCGGGGAAGAGAATGTCTATTACCGCATTGGGATGTTCATGTCGCGTGCGCGCGAGGCGGGAGGGACGGCCTTGTTTTCAGGGAGCCAGACCCGGACCCTGGAAATCATCTAAGTTGATGCCTGGGGCGGACCTGGCTCTCGTTTGACCGCAAATACTGCCTTCTCTTGACGGACACCAAACTCCTCTCCCTCGGAGCAGGGTCAACCGGGATGAGAAATGTGTTCGCATATCCCTACTAGCTGTCCTTTTCATACATTTTTCTATCTTTTTCTCCCAATGCGCCTGATCTATCTCGTTGCTTCATTTCGCCTATCTATAGAGTCACGTTGAAGAGGTGTCCTTGCGGCAGCCAGATTGGAATAGCATGCTACCTCGTTCATCGTCAAGGGGTATATTCCGTATCATCACTCATTGGCAAGCGCAGAAGCTCGCCTGATAGTAGCTCCTACGTAGCGCCATACGTAATGCCATCCACCAAAAGTAGTAGCACTGAAAAGTGGCCCATGCTTGAGAATCCCCATGGCTCGCGGTTGCCTGTAACGGGACCTTGTCACATATTTGGGCTGTTTCGGTCGCACCAAATATGACGGCATGAGTGTGAAGCCATCGTCGGGTTGTGGCGAGGCAAACATCACCTAAATAACCGTCGAGTCTCCCGCGATATAGACGGCAAGCTCGCAGCCCAAGGAAGCAGGTTATGACAGGTTGCACGGGTAGAATATGCCCGCCTCATGGCTTTGCTACCTTGCGCGGTTCGCTCAGTCCGGTCTCGGGATCCTTGTACTCCTTCCAGCTGACTGGGTACATTGGGTTCCCAGCCTCGCTCGTGGCCATTATGACACCCAGCTCATTACTTGCGGTGGACAGGTAGTAGTTTGCCTGGTCGCCAAGTGAGATCTGACAAAGAGAATACCAAAGTTAGCGGCTTGCGCTTGGTAACGGCGCAAAGAACAGAGACGCCTGCATCACTCACCACCTGCGCGCGCACGATATCCCCCGGCCTGAAGCTCTCGTGTATCCTCACGCGGTCCTTCTCCGTCGCGCGCACGTCCCTGACGCGAATGACGCCCTGCCACTCGGCGTCGAGCACGGCGTCCCCGATGGCCAGGATGGACACGATGGCCTGGGCGTACGAGATGCGCGTGACGCGGCACAGCACCAGATTGCCGACGTCGGGGAGCACCTTTGCGCTGCGGCGCTGCTGCGGCTCGCGCGACACGGAGATGACGGGCAGGCTCGAGGACGGCGGGGCGACGGCGGCGACGATGCGGTTCGGGCGCTTGGCGGGCCCCGCGGGCTTGGGCGGCTGCGACACGTGGATGGCGCCCAGGAGCGAGGCGTACAGGTTGGACTCGTGGACGTGCGTGCCCGGCCCGGCGCGGTACTTTGTCGCGGGGCCGAGGAGCTGGCCTGGGAGCGCGAGGGCGGGCGCCGCCGCTACCGCGGGCGCCGACGATGTGGCCATGGCTGCGCGTGTTGCCTAGTGGCTCTGGCGGCTCCTGTCGTGGGCTGGTGTCGGGTATGCCTTGGGGCGGCGGCGGGAGGCAGTCGGGATAGGATCCGATGGTGGCTTTCGTTGCCGCCCAAGGTTTCGCGGCGATGAAGTCACCAAAAATTCAAAAGCAAAACCTCGCATTTTCCCCACGCCCCACATCGTTGAATGTCTCCACTTTCCAGGAACGGAATCTCTCCTATTAGCGGGTGGCCTTGAGCAGCAAACGCTGCCCAAGGGTTCCACCAACTCGGTTCCTATCTAGGAAATATCCAACAAAATAGGCACCTATTTGGCCTTGTCGTCGTCACCTTCATACAGTGTCAAGTAGCTCGCCTTGAGACGCATATGCAGGTGCTCCTCTGCCGTCAGCACCTTGCGCTGATCGTACGGGTTCCCCTCACGTGCCTCCTTCCCCTTGGCAGCAAACTCCCGGACGCGCTCGCTCGGCACAGGCTCGAGCGCTACCGAGCCCGCAGGGTGACAGAAAAAGGCCATCGAGTACCGCGGCTGCGCGTCATCCTCCCCTCTGGCCGCTGCAGCGGCGCGCGCATCCTCGCTCTTGGGGAAGACGACACGATGCACGGTGCTGCGTAGCAGTCCCCCGGTCCAGTAGCTGAGAAGGTCACCAATGTTGACCAGGATGGGCGGGGCCGGGTCCGACTCGGTGCCGGGAGGAGAGACGGGAACGGGGGCCCAGTTGTTCTCCCTGGTCAGGATTTCGAGGCCGGCCTGGCCCTTGAGCCGAAATAACAGCGTCAGGCTGCCGTAGTCAGAGTGGGCACCGGCGCGGACATCGTCGGTCTGCGCGTCAGGGGTCGCGGCCAGGGGCGGGTAGCGGAGCCACCGGAGGGTGGTGCCCGAGGGGCCTCGTGATGGTAGGTGGGCAGCGCGGAAGAAGTCAGGAGGGTCCGTGGCCAGACCGACGCCGAGAAGGGCGTTGAGTTTGAGGGCGAGGTCGTGGCACTGATGGAAGAAGGTGTCGATATCGGCGACCTGCGAGGAGATGGCCGGTGGGAGCGGCTGCTGGGGAACGCCATTGACGAACTCGCCGAAATTGAAAGCCCTACCTTGGTCAGTGGTACTGAATGATATCTGCCGGGAAAGGGCGCGCGCATAGGCAGCCTACTCTTTGAAGTCGCCAACCCGCTGGTGTGCCGGATCAAGAGTCTCGACGTGCATGCCAGACCAGCCGCGGTTGTTCTTCTGGATGGTGCATTGCTGCTTCTCCTCGGTTGGCGACGCGAACAGCGTCTTGGACTGAGTTCAGTTCGATGCGGGGCAGATAGCCCCTCGACTGATTAGCCTGGCTGGAGGAGAGCTTTCTATCGAGTTGACGGGGCTCTGCAGCGCATTACCATGGCAAAGGCATTCTCTATAGCCTCCAAGGGGATATCCCTCCCTTGATTCTTGATGTACACAAATCCATGCTCGACAGCGGCGTCAACCAGTTCCCGAGCGACCTGGGCTTGGTCCTCGGCCGCGATGTCGATGACGGGGATTTGCGCAGCTGCGGCCGCCATGTTGCTATGGCGTTACTGTATGGAAAAGAAAGGCAATCACCGAATGTCTGGGCTGTGAGTGATGCGAGGTTTAGCTCGGGTGACTCCTCCAGCTCCTCTTATCACAGTGGTGTCCACACCCTAGACCATATATAGGTAGTAATAGTAGCCCGTCGAACAGCTCCGCCCCTCGGCCCCGAGTCGATGCAATACGATAGGCCGCAGTCCCGCCCGAGAGCTACCGTCGCCAACAGACGGCCTTGAGCTCAGATGAAGTTCGCACTCGGCTTTTCGGCCACACGATATTTGGTCTGGCGCGTGGCCTGGAACGCATCAGGAAATAGCAGGGAACCTGGAGTGCTGGCGTGCATCGCTGCACCCGTGGCTCCTGCACCAGTTAGAGTGGAGCGGTCTTGTTCCATTGGCCGTGATCCTTGCTGACGTAACGCACCACGCAGCCGTCCGCTTCCTGGCGGCAGGTGCGCCTGCTGCAAGTTTGAGCTCCAGCCCAAACAAGGCGTGATGGTCGCCCGTCGCTGCGCCAGGCCCACGATCACTCCTTCCACACCAACCGTCCAGCCAGCTGGGACCCAGAATTTTCCTGTTGTTTGCACGCTCTTATCTTTCTTAGCTTGCTTTGGTATTTTTCTTCCTTTTTCGCTCCTTGTTTTCTTTGCGCCGTCTCCTGTACGAACACTTCTGCTGCCTCGAAATGACTGGCGCAGGTCGCATTTTGAGTTGAGACTGGAGCCGGGCAACAACAGGACCCTACCACAGGCGTCGTGTTGCTTTCCGTCCCAATTTTGCTCCCAACGCCGCCCTGCACTTGCCCATTCCATCAAACCGCGCGCCTCAATTTAGTCAATTCGCTACTTGGCTACCTAGGTGCTTACGGCACCCAGCGCCTGTATTTAACTCGCCGACCTCGCTCCCACAATGGCTTCCCCAAGCTCCCCTCTCGCCATGTCCGACGCCGACGCCCCCAGCTCGCCCGTCCGCCCCGACAAGTCCTTCGCGACAAACGACGACGACGACATCAGGATGCCCGACGCAACTCCCGAGCCCGTCGAAAAGTCGCATCGCGGCAAGGGCGGTCGCGCTGCCAACGCTTCGCAAACGCCCCAGCAACAACCCGTTATCGGGAAAATCCGCCATCTCAAAAAAAACGATGGCGAGCCTTTGTGGCGCGAGGACATCCAGTACGACTTCCTCAAGGCCGTCTTCGACGACGAGCAGAAAGTCTTCACCAACAGCTTCGAGCCCGAGCGTCTTGGCAAGCAGAACTTCGCCGACCTGTACATCGACACCATGTCGAGGAGCAGCAAGACCAGCAAAGTCCTACGCGACAAACTGCTCAGCGATCGGGATGCCGCCAAGGGCATGGCCATGGTCTGCCTGCTCGTCAACATCGGCCGCATGAACACCACGCTCAACTGTCAGTCCGCCATCGCCGCGCTGCCGTGCCATCGTGCACTGCATGCCTCTTGCTAACCCGACGGCCTGTTCTATCCAGTCTTCCCTGAAATGCGAGCCCAGCTCCGAACATACCACGCCATCCCATCGCTTCAGGCCAACCAAGATAATAACGCCTACAAGCAATTGCAAGATGCGCCAAGGTTAAAATCTATTCTCAAGGGCGGCGCCGAGGATCGCCCAGAGCCCAACACACTAGACAAAATCAAGGCACAGGATCTCCCACGCACCAATCCCGTCAACCTCCTTTTTGTCATCATCCAGAACGCAACCAAGATCGCCGAACTGCATTTCCCTGCGAACCACGAGTTCCACGACCTGGTCATGAAGACGCAGTATACCAGCGCTTCTCGAGCGCGCGCGTTTCTGTGGATAATATGGTTCTACCTGGAGTCGGATTTCACAGAAGAGGGCTGCGAAGAGAATCCCTTTGGTCCTGGTGTGGATTACGGGCTCGACGTCGCGAATCAGGGAGTGCCGCAGCTGAAATTGATCAAGCCAGGCGACCCCCCTGAAAACATCGACACACCCGAGGAGAAGGAATTCGGTGAGGAGAAGAAGAAAATGCGAGCCAAGATCATCGATGCCGACAAGGCTTTCATCAACGACTCGCAGAGCAAGCGTGGCGCCCGACCTCGCACCTCCTTCCTGGCCAACGGCGTCGACGACGTGCTGGCTGCAGGCAGCCCGAGCGTCCTCCCTCGTATGCGCCCCTCGCGCAATGAGTCGGATCTGGATAGTACCCGGTCTACTCCACCGCGATCGGTGCAGCGCCAGCTCGCAGGCCCTGTCAGTGGCGCTCGTCGTCCTGTCGCCCTCAAGTACCAGCTCTACGAAGGGGCTTCTTCGCCAGCCCCTGGCGGGCCCGGGGGCTCGAGCGCCCCGACCATCGAGGGCGTGGTCGCAGCGCGCAAGCCTCGTCCCCCAACAGCCCACCAGATCGCGGTCGAGAACAATAGGGCTCAACGTGTGAACCACATAATCGATCGTGGCGTTCGCAAGGCTCACCATTACGCACGCAAACAACGGCGCGCGGATGGGGCCATCTTCCGTGCCGTGCGCCGCCTTCGTGCCGCCACGGACGACGAGCACCCTATGATTCCCGATCCTGTAGACGACAGTGAGGGAGAGGAAACGATCATGGAGAATCAACGCATCATGCGAGCCGGGGTTAACCAGCCCGATCCAGCGTTGCATTGCGGCACATATCACGGCAAAAAGACTCCGTACAGGTCTCGCGGCTTCGGCGGTCTCTGTCTGCTACTGCGTGAGGAGGATGACGACTTCGGCGAGGAGGTGGCGGCCTATGCAGCTGTCTTTAGGCGTGCCACCCGGAGGCTCGACCGGTGGCACGAGTCTGGGCCCAACAGTGTGATCCGGCCCATCAAACGACCTAGGGTTGTCTTGCCCGACGACGAAGGGGGACTTAATGGGAGGGACCCCAACGAGACCGAGGATGAGATGGACCAGACAATGGACCAGACCATGGATCTCACAATGGACCAGACTGCGCTCGGGGGCGATGTCTCAATGGCAGATACGATTGGGGAAGAGGAGGATTTCACTATCGATGCCAACTCGGTCCTCACGCCGCGGGGACAAATGCGACGGAAGCGAGGCACTGGCAATCGAGTGGCGGCCCTTAACGGCTCTTCCCGTCGCCGAACAACGGGCTCTCCAGCTGCCAGCAAGAGGGGCAAGCCGGCGGTCAATGGCACCTCCAACAAGCTCAACACCAAACGCACAGCCGACGCGGAGGACGGCGACGAACTCGAGGACGTGGACAAGCTGCTTTTGGGCATTGCAAGTGGCAGTGATGCCGAGGCCGGTGACGGCGAGGCCGGTGATGGTGACGCCACGGACAAGGACAATGCCAAGGACAGCGACGACGAAGGCGGCGACCTCAACGACCTTGACAAGACGCTGTTGGGGATAGGCGACGAGGTCTCGGACTCGGACTGAGAGCCAGGACCAAAGCCTACGGCTTTGTCGCGTTTATTTTTACTTTTAAACTTTGTATAATTGGTTTACGCCATCTAGTTTACCCGGCGTTGTCTAGACAGTCTGCCGGTTTTCAGCAGTGATTTCGGATATTGGTGGGATGGACGTTGACATTCGACATGGGCGTCGACAGGGAGCGGCAGCAATTTCAGCTCTCGGGCCCAGTGTATGTTTATAGCTTGATTTTATTTTTGAATGCGAAAAAGTACCTCCGCCTCAGGCATTTCTTTTTTTCCTGTTTCTCACAAGCGCTTGCAGAGTATCTCGACGGCAATTTCCGGGATTTTATTCCGACTCTCACCACGACATGCACCTATAGCGCCTTGTAGTTTCTGAACTGGTCTAGGGCCATGTGCAGAGCCGTCTTGTCTCTGGATGTGTTAGTAAGGAGTCTTCTAAACGGCTATCACGAACCACGACGACACCGAGTTGATTGGCCCGAACAAGGAGTCAGTCAAGAACAGTGTGTGGGCTTTTGCGGACTCATTTGCCCGTCGCGACGGCTACGTGGTGGGGAAATGTTCTTCTCGCTCCCGCTGGCGTCTGTTACTCTGGGGTCCGGGACGTAGGAGGACCCGGTATCGTTCATAAACAACCACTCGACGACGAGCCTGGCGCTCCGCCATCTTGAGCCTGGCAGCGGCAGAGAAGACTCGCGACGGGGGCACAACAGAGGGAGTGCGCACTTCGCGGAACGACGCCACAATGTTTACAAAATCAGGGAATCCGGTCTGGTCCGGTCACTTTTACCAATAAGAAAAACGCGTGGGCCGGTCCATGAGACGGCATCGTCAGGAAGTTTGCCAGTCCTAGAGTAACAGTAGGTGCTTGCCGCCGATAATGTATATTAAAGTACCGTCCAGGTACTAGTGGAATCCAAGTACCCTGGCGTGCGTGATAGGCCCGCTCCTATATGATATAGGCTATATCTTTTTGAAGCGCGGACGGAAAGACGCTGTGCTAGCTGGCGGCCTAGGTGGGCGTGTATAATGATATGAAGGGGGTAGGCTGTTGGTTGCTCCTTCTCTCGCGTCGATCGCCTGGTCCGTACTTGGTGCGTGACTGTAACTGTGAGAGATGACGACGGCTGCCAAACGGCTTGATCACGCCCCTCAGCAGCAAAGAGTTATTGGCATCCAACATTGCATGGTGCCAATGCAAGGATAACAGACAGAGCGAGCGGGATGGGTCGCAAAGTGTTGGGAACCTACGAGGGGATGCGAATCAGCCCACTCGCACAAAGAAGATTAGAGTTTTGGAAGCAGCAGAGGCCCAAAAGAGCCCATGTCGGCCCAATCGGCTTCTCAACATGTCCGTCATTGCGCGAACCAGAAAGCGACGACTGGCTCCAGGACTCTGGTAATGGTGCCACCCGGCATCTTGATCGCCGGCAGGCCAAGACGGCAATTGATTGGCCAATGGTGAGTAAAGGTGGAGCCACATGGACCCTGGAAATGAGTTGGCTAGGGTCATTTCCTTTGGCTCTTGACTTTTTTCTCCACCGCCTTCGGTATCCTCGGAGACAGAGAGCAAGGGGCTCACTGTCCGTCTGCTGGCGGGCTGCTTCGTTGGTCTCTTCTTTAAAGTGCTCTTTTTTGCTTGTTTGTTCAGTTTTGTAGATTTCTGTTCTGCTCTCTAACCTGCAGAACAAGCGACATCGCCCAAAATGTCGTCCCCAATCAGCGGCTTCCTCCGCTTCGTGGCCGTGCTGCTGGCCGTTGTGTCGCCCATGGTGTACATGCTGGAGCAGCGGCTCGAGTCCTTCTACATCTTCGAGACGGGCCACCTGCACGACCTGTCGACGCGCGCCATCGCCGCCCACGGCAACGACACCAAGTCCATTGTCGACTTTATCGTTACCGAGCTCAAGAGCCAGCCGCGCACGGCCGCCCACGTCAACCTGGAGCATGAGTGGGTCTTCAACAACGCCGGCGGTGCCATGGGCGCCATGTACATTATCCACGCCAGTGAGTAGACTAGACGACAGGCCTTTATATCTGATGGTCCGCCGAACCAGCTCGCTAACAGGTCTTCGCGTCTTCCCCAACCAGGTATCACCGAGTACCTCATCATCTTCGGCACCGCCATCGGCACTGAGGGCCACACGGGACGGCACACGGCCGACGACTACTTCCACATCCTGACGGGCGAGCAGTGGGCGTACGTGCCGGGCGAGTACAAGGCGGAGGTGTACCCGGCCGGGTCGGTGCACCATCTGGTGCGCGGGGAGGCCAAGCAGTACAAGATGCCCGAGGGCTGCTTCGCGCTCGAGTACGCGCGCGGCTGGATCCCGCCCATGCTCTTCTTTGGCTTCGCCGACGGGCTCAGCAGCACGCTCGACCTCCCGACCCTGTGGCGCACGGCCTTTGTTACGGGCCGCGAGATGCTGGGCAACCTGGCGCTGGGCAAGTTTTAGACGAGACTGAAGAGTGGGCGAGGGCGGGGAGGAAGTGGTGGAAGAGGAGGCTGCGAGAGGGTGGGCGGGTGGAGCGAAATATAGACATGTGCAAGCAATAACATGCGCACGACCAAACTATAGATATGATGTTGTAAATCTATTGGTAATAGCCTGGTGCAATATGCTGTCGGTCCATCTGTGCATCAGAAAATAGGATCGACCATTGTGGGCCCGAGATTTGACATTCGGCTGGGGATTCCAGGGGAAAGGCATCAATCAATAGTTCCGGACCCGACCGTTGAAATGTCACTTTTTTTTATTCTCTTGGTTTTGGGTATTATCAGGTTCATTTATTTAGTGTCTCATATTTTCCCCATCGTTCTCGTCGTGGCTCGGCGGTTCAGACAAGCCTTTCGGGTGGCTCATCTTGGCTTCTTGGCAGAGCAGCGGGGACGGCGGGAGGTGGAAATCCCCGATGGACACTCAGCTAGAACCCCTCTCGACCAGATGTGTTGCCATTTTTCGCCATTGCCAAACCCAGAAACATGATTCGCTAGCACACCCAGCGCCAGATCCTTCGGCCCTTCTTCTCCGGAAACAAGTAGTTTGCAGCACCTTCTGCATTTGGCAGGTGTTTCTTCCCAGCCACCTGCGCGGGCATCAGGGAAAGTCCCTCGCATTTGAAGGGAGTAGTGCGAGACTGGACTATTCCCGTCAAATCACAGGCCGCGAGCGGGTATGCGCCCGTCAGCGTCACGTTGCACTCGGCCAAGGCGGCATCTGTTGGGATAAGCTTTGACCAAGGAGAGCGTGTGATGGCTATCGCTCGTGGCTCCCCACAGCCGAGGCCAGTGCACTGGCAGGGGGTCCAGGGGGTCCAGGCTAGCCTGGGACTCGACGCATGGCGTGAGCGCAGCAGATACCAGTACTGTGTATGCCTCGTCCATATGGTAGGTAGGTACCTCTAGGGGCTAGGCGATATACATCTGCTTTTGGCCACCGAAGAGCCTGTATTTGCCCCCTTTAAGGGCGCTAGTGGTGGTCATCTGTAGCTATCGCTCTCGACAGCATGCCGAAAAGCCCACGTCTCGGCCGCGTGTCCTAATTCGGCAGCCAACAGGCATCGGATCTGTCCCCTTTCCAGAAAAAAAAAAGTGAGGCCGAACGGAGTGGCTCGATCCACACAGTTCCTCTTGCTCACTGTTCGATACGACGTACCACAAGATTTGCCCATCCCTCTCTCCACACCCCTTTTCTTAACATCTTATGCGTATCTTGGCCCCATGACGGAACCGATAGGCAGGTCCACCATCCTTTGGCGCAGTGCCACCGACCGTTCATCTCCTTGAATCAGCCTCGGCGAGGCGGCTCCCCAACCATCTTCCATCTCGGGCAGGGCGATGGCGAGGGATGCCTGTGCTTTTGCCGTCGGTTCCTGCGCCGCAGAGGACCCGCCAACGGCGCTGGAGGAGCTGTGGGTAGTTTCCCCTCGACACCACCCCCCGGACATGACTGCAGAGTTGGGACGAACCTGGAACGGCAAAGCATGTTGCCCACCAGCCCAGATAAGAGAAAGTGGGCGGGCAAGTGTGGGGGACGTTGCACTCTTGTTTTGTCATGCGTGCTCCAGGCAAGAGATTACCCGGGTGGGCGACATTCCTGCGTCTGACACCTCCCGCCTTTGTACCTCGCACCTTGCAGGAGGGGCCCAATCGTGGTGGTAACCCGGGCGAACGCATGGGTTCCTTATAAAACCGACCGCGTCTTCCCGCCTCTTCTCTCCCGTCCCTTGACCTGTCCTCTCGTGACGGCTTCCCCTCCCTTCCCTCCCCTCATCCAGCCTCTGCACGTTGCAAGCAAGCCCAGCATGCCGGCAGACATAATCGACGACGCCATCGTGGCGGAGCAGGTGCGCGCCACGGCCCAGGCCGAGGTGGCGGCGCCCGACGACGAGAAGACGGGCGGCGCCGCGGGCCTGCACCCGACCGAGGAGGAGCTGCAGACGCTGCGGCGCGTGGCGGACCGCATCCCGCTCAAGCTCTTCACCATCGCCTTCATCGAGCTGTGCGAGCGCTTCTCCTACTACGGCGTCGTCATCGTCTTCACAAACTTCATCCAGCAGCCCCTGCCGGCCGGCTCCCTCACCGGCGCCGGCTTCGGCAGCCCGACGGGCCAGTCGGGCGTCCTGGGCATGGGCCAGCAGGCCTCGACCGGCATCACCACCTTCAACCAGTTCTACCAGTACATGATGCCGTTGCTGGGCGCCTGGATCGCCGACGAGTACTGGGGCCGCTACAAGACCATCTGCGTTGCGCTTGGCGTCGCAATCTTTGGCCACATCGTCCTGATCCTGTCGGCCATCCCGCCCGTCATCGCCCGCGGGCCCAGCGACTCGCTGGCCGCCATGATCATGGGCATCCTTATCATTGGCTTCGGCACGGGCGGTTTCAAGCCCAATATCAGCCCGCTCATCGTCGAGCAGCTGGACCTGGACCACATGGTGGTGCGCACGCTAAAGTCGGGCGAGCGCGTCATCGTCGATCCCACCATCACCATCAACCGCGTTTACAACTGGTTCTACTTCTTCATCAACATCGGCGCCCTGCTCGGCCAGCTGACCATGGTGTACGCCGAGCTCTACGTCGGCTTCTGGCTCAGCTACCTCATGCCCACCATCATGCTCAGCATCTGCCCGCTCGTCATGTGGTGGGGCAGGAAGCACTACCGCGACCGCCCGCCCGCGGGATCCGTGCTCGGCAAGGCCCTCAAGACCTTTGGGCTGGCCCAGCGCGGCCGCTGGCACGTCCTGCCCTGGGTCACGTACCAGCGCATGAACGACGGCACCTTTTGGGAGAGCGTCAAGCCGTCCAAGTTCGCGCCGGGCACCAAGCCCGCGTGGATGACGTTTGACGACGCCTGGGTGGACGAGCTGCGTCGTGGTTTCGCCGCCTGCTCGGTCCTGTTCTGGTTCCCGCTCTACTGGCTCACGTACAACCAGCTCAACAACAACCTCATCTCCCAGGCCGCCGTCATGAGGCTCGACGGCGTCCCCAACGACGTCGTGACCAACCTGGACCCTCTGGCGCTGCTCATGTGAGTTTGGACCGTTTGCTGCTTGGGCCATAAACAAACATGACAAGAATGTGAAACTGACTCTTTCCTTTTTTTTTTTTCTCCCCGCAGTTTCATCCCCATCTGCGACTTTGGCCTGTACCCGCTCCTGCGCAAATACCGCATCAAGTTCACGCCCATCAAGCGCATCGCCGCCGGCTTCTTCTGCGGCGCCGCCGCCATGGTGTGGGCCGCCGTGATCCAGAACCACATCTACGCCACGTCCGAGTGCGGCTACAACGCGTCGGGCACCAAGGACGACGGCACGACGTGCGCGCCCATCTCCCTGACCGTCTGGGCCCAGACGGGCGCCTACGTCCTGCTGGCCCTGTCCGAGATCTTTGCCTCCATCACCTCGCTCGACTACGCCTTTAGCAAGGCGCCCAAGAACATGCGCTCCATGGTCCAGGCCATTTCGCTGTTTACCACGAGCCTGTCGGCCGCCCTGGGCGAGGCCTTTGTGCCCCTCAGCGCCGACCCGCTGCTCGTGTGGAACTACGGCGTCGTCGCCGTCCTGGCCGCCGTCGGGGGCTTGCTGTTCTGGCTCAACTTTAAGAGCCTCGACGCCGAGGAGGACGCGCTCAACGAGCTGCCCGAGGGTAAGATGTTTGTGACGGACGAGGAGAGCGTCAACCACTCGCCGACGCCGCCTGAGAAGAGCTAGGGGAGACGACGTTGAGGTGGATGGGCGTCTTGTGTGTATAGATGAAAGGGATGATATCTCGTTGATTGGCTACCATGTTGCGCATCTAATCAATCCACTTTGTCAACTATTGATCACAAACGTGCCATTTATGTCGGGGAGAAGGGGAATGCGCCTCTTCATCTAGTCGCCATTACGGCCGAGGTCGGTAGCGTGGACAAGCTTGCCAATCGCATCGCAGCCAAGATGCGAATGTCCAGTTTGTCGACAACTGGGTGAGATTCGAAGAAGCCCTCAGACTGGGAGCGGGCCGGAGCAGACTCCATACCAAGAACGGCTCAGGGTGCTGGAAGAGAGGTGACACACATGGCTTCCGATAAAAGAAGCGCTGGAAGCAAATGGGGAAAGATAAAGTCGGTTGAAAAACGAATCAGGAGGTGATGGAGAGCATTCGTGGGGCTGAAGGATGTTATGTGACGGTCGGGGGCGAGGGTTCGGTTTCTTGAATTTAGGAAGTTTGCTCAGGCCAGGGTGCTAGAAGTGGCCAGGAGCTGAGTGACGTGTCCGGTGACGACAAGGAAAACAGGACTGTTCGGCTTTGGGTTACTGCGTGGGTTGGGTAACCCGAGGTGTCGTGGAGGATCATGTTATTTTTATCAGGATGAAACGAGCGAAGTGCCATGTCCTATTTTTTTATCAACTTTTATTTTGTGTCATGTTTTTTTTGTCTCGCAAATCGACAGATATTCTGTCTCTACGTGGAAATGCGCCCGTAGTTCACACCTCGGCATGGCCCGGACTGGGCGGCACATCCCCCGTGTCCCACGCGACCGGCTCAGGCCCCATCTCGAACTCGAGCAGGCCGCCGCGCGCGCTGTCCTTGCCGACCAGGTCCTCGTGGCTGACCCAGCTGCGGTCCCACGGCTGGCCGTTGACCTTTAGGCTCTGCACAAACGTGTTGCCGGCCTCGGCCAGCCCCTTGGCGACGATGCGCAGCTTCCCGCCCGACTCGCCCAGCGTCACCGTCACGTCCTCGAAGCGCGGGGCCAGGACCAGGTACACGGGCTGCGTGACGACGGGGTAGAGGCCGATCATGTTCCAGACCAGCCAGCTGCTCATGGCGCCGGCGTCGTCGTTGCCGGGGATGCCGTTGCGGCCGGCGTGGTAGAACTCGTCCACGATGGCGCGGGACCGGTTGGCCGACTTGTGCTGCTTGCCCGGAATGTAGCTGTAGAGGAACGGCGTCATGAAGCTCGGCTCGTTGCCCGGGTTGAAGATCATGGTGCCGGCCCCGTTGGCGCCTTGGTCCTCCTTGCCCAGGCCCGGGACGAAGGACTTGTCCAGCCGGGCCTCGAAGGAGGCCGGGCCGCCCATCTTGGCCACCAGGGTGCGCATGTCGTGCGGGATGGTGAAGCTGTACTCCCAGGGCGTGCCCTCGTACGTGATGGACCGCCACGTGCACGCGCCGCACGTCAGGGGGTCGTAGACGCCGCCGCGGCTGCCCTCGGGCACGGCGACGCTGCCGTTGGGCCAGCGCGGCGCCAGGAAGCCCTTGAACCCGAGGGCCTCGGCGTCGTCAGACCAAAGGTGCTGCCAGTTGCGCGACCGGTTCAGGTACGTGGCCGCCTCGTGGGGCGGCGCGGCCACGCCGCGGGCGACCTGGGACACGGCAAAGTCGTTGAGCGAGTACTCGACCGTCTTGGAGATGCAGCGGCCCTTGTTGGCCGACACGAAGCCGCACGCCAGCCAGTCGTTGAGCGCGCCCCGGCCCTCCTTGGTGCTGCCCGACGGGTCGTCCGTGTCAAAGTTGTTGTATGGCAGCCGCTCGGCGTTGGTCCTCATGGCGGCGTAGCCGTCGGTCCAGTTGACGAGGCCGCCCCCGGGCGCGGCGACGCCGACGCCCAGGCCCTTGACGTAGGCGTCGGCCAGCACGTTGTCCGAGTTGGAGCCGCCCTGCACGCGGCCGTTAAAGTTGTGGCTGCGGCCCTCGGGCATCCAGCGCTCGTGGCGCCAGATGTCGATCAGCGCGCGCACCATCTGCGTCTGGCGCTCGGGCAGGATGAGCGTCACGAGCGGGTGCAGGGTGCGGAACGTGTCCCAGAGCGTGTACCAGTCGTCGTAGTAGGGCTCGCCCGAGTCCCAGTGCGGGTTCTCCCCCGTCCGGTCCGACGGCAGGAGGTGGCTGTGGTAGAGAGCCGTGTACAGCATCGTCAGCGCCGTCTCGTTGTCGGCAGCACCCGATGATGGCTGAGCCGTGGCGACCTTGCCCAGCACCTCCGAGTTCCACTTGTCGACCGCCTTGGCCACCGTCGTGTTCAGGTCCCAGGTCGGAATTTCGTCACGGAGGAACTGGCAGGCCTTGTCGGCAGAGATCCAGGACACGCCCACACGCGACTGCACCACGTCGGCGCCCGCGGGGAACTCGAAGAGCGCCCCGATGCGGTCGGCGTACTGGTAGTTGGGCGCACCGGCCGTCAGAGTGGTAGCGTCGGTGAAGGTCGGGCTGGCATCGGTCGTGTTGGGCCAGAAGGGGTCGGTGGCCTTGCCCGAGAAGAGGCGGGCGCTGGAGGGGGTGGTGTCAAAGTTGGCGCAGAAGTAGACGCGGTAGTCGCCACCCCACGACCAGCCGGCGCGGTAGATGCCATAGCCCGAGTACCAGGTGCCGTCTTCACTACGCTCAAGAAAGCCGTTGCTGTACCACTGCTGTTTGTTGCCCATGCTCGGCAGGAAATGGCTGATGTCGACAAGGACATGGCGACCTGGGGCGTCGGGTGGGTACGAGTAGCGCATGATTCCGGCGTGCATGCTGGCGCTCATCTCGGCGACTACGCCGTTGCTCAGGTGGGTGCGGTAGTAGCCGACCGAAGCAACGTCGGGTGAGGTGCGCGGCTGCATGTAGGTGATGTTGTCGAGGAGGTTGACGCCCTCGAGCGACGTGAGGGGCATTTGCGGGATGAGGCCATAGGTCGGGGCGCCGCCGGTGCCGCTCTCATGCAGCATCGTGATGGCCGTCACGTTACCGCTCGGGGTGTAGCCGGCGTTGGCTGCGAACGAGACGTTCCAGCGTGTGGTGTCGATGCCGACCTTGACGGCGCCCCAGGGGAGCGAGGCGCCTGGGAAGACATTGCCGCCGGCGAAGGCAGAGCCCGGGTCGGGACCTTCGGTGCCGATGAAGAGGTTGACATGCTTTGTAAAGTCCTTGGCCGATGCCTGGGCCGCGGCGGTGCCGGTGAGGTATGACGCTAGCAGCAGTGACGCTGCAATCATGGACCGTGCTGCCATCTTGATGCCGTGCCCTCTCCTTCTGAGAACGGCCGAGGCGCAACGTCCCCCTGGGAGGGGCTATATAGAGGGTTGGCCGTCATCATGTCTGCGGGGAAAGAAAAAAAAAAAACACCAACCCCATACCGCCAAGCACCTCCAATGTGGTTCCTGGTTTCCCCCGCAGAGGGCATCACCTACCAGCCACCGCACCCCGCACGCCGAGTCGGCTCACCACTGCTACCCCAGTGGGGAGCGACACGATGCCTCCACCTTGGAGGCATCGGTCGGTCAGGCGGTCAGATCAACAAGGTGCCGAATCCGAAGTGCCCACCGAAGGCGCTAGAAGGGCGCGGGCAAGAGCCGAAATGAGCAAGGAAAGCCGAGCCGGGATATGGATTACCGCGAATCCCGTTCGTCACAGCCCGGATTGCGAGGAACGCAAATGCTCTGTGCAGTCAATATTTGACGATGTGAAGACGCATGGCCAGCTGCCCATACAAGTCAAGTCGAGCCTTGTCAATTGAGGACGCTAGCGCAGGGGTCGCGGGCGAGATTGCCGATTCTGAGTAAGACCAGGAAGACAAGACCTGAAACGAAAGCAAAATAACGTCGACGGGCGTGAGGCTATCGTCATGAACCAAAAAGGATCGTTCGGATCGCCATTATTGAAACGGAACCCACCAAACCTCGGACGGATCAGGGTCCCATCCGGCAGGGATGGCCGCGCAGAGATGAGAGAGGTTGGACGACGGGAAGGGCGCATGACACGTGGGTTAGTCTTTGGACCAGCAGAGAACCCTGGGCTTGGCCGCGCCCGACATGGAATGCTGGTGCTTGGGACGGACGGGGCTGGCCAAGGCTGCAGACGATGGCACAGCGCGTGTCTCCGGCGTCTCCAGGGAGGTGGCAGTAGCCTGTCTCGAGCTGGCTGTATCAAACTGACCTGGAACGGCGGGATGCCAAATCCAACGGCGTTGCGGGTGCCGAACTGTCAAGTCCAAGTCACTACCGTCGGGCGGATTCTGCGATAAGACGGGCGGATGGATCCAGCCTAGCGTGGACTGGTCGGATCTTCTTCCATGTTCAATCTCATTGTCCTAGCCCCGGCACTTGCAGATATTGCAACAAACATTGATACAGGCAGGACGAATGCAAAACGGGCTAGACATGGGCCTGATAAGAATTGTGAACAACAATTGTAAACACAAGCTTGAGCTCCCGTCCATCTCCACCCTGGAGCCCTTGGGTAATTACCCTTGAGCTCTCCGCCCGGCACAGCTTGCCCCTCCGGTTGCTGCAAACCCCACCACAGGCCCTTTTTTTTTCCCCTCCCGCAAGGCCAAGCATTTCGCTTCTCGACTCGCCGTCCCGTCTGTGTTTCTATGGTGGTCTGTGTTGTGTTTCTCTGGCCCAGCTCACTGGTCTCTTCCCAGGCCTTCCCAGGCCTTGGCGCTGGTTATAACAACAACTCGTTTCTCCCAGCACTGGCATAGCGAGTACTGAGACTAATATACAGCCCCCCTGCCAGCTCAGGTTGGGCCCCCGGCCGGCATTCCCGCTCGTTTCGGTGCCACAGGCAGAGTTAGCCGAGCAGGCCGGACTTAAACGCTACAAACCCCGGTTCCCGGCTCCCTTGATTTGTCTTCATTGTCGTCATTGTTGGTGCCTCTGCTTCGCTCCCTTTGATATATTTCTCGCTCTTGGCCACCACCTTTTGAACCGCTCTCTTCCACCCCTCAGGAGCGGCCTGCTCATGTCCTTCTCGGCTGTCGTAGCAGCGCATATCCCAACAGCGAAGCCCACCTCTTGGCACCCGACATCGCTTGTGCCGGCCCGCGCCAAGAAATAGTAGCGCGCCGGGTCATCGCGCCTCGAGGCCAACAGACCAACCGTCATGGCCGCCTCGGCCCTGCCTGATGCGCACGCGGCCAAAAACGACAACAATGTGGTGGCAGAGGCCGGCCTGTTCAGCTCCGACGAGAGCCAGGGCCGCCGCAGCAGGTCGTCGTCGTCGTCGTCGTCGTCTGACCGGCCGCCGCCGCCGCCGCCGCGCGAGTCCCTCAACCGCACCAAGAGCTCCGCCACCGATGCCAGCGCCTACACCACTGCCTCGGCCACGGTCAATCGCCTGCGTGAGGAATGGGCCGCCCGCCCCTGGCACCGCAAGCTCAACCCCTTGCGATGGGGCACCATCCCGCCCATCCCCGACGAGCGCGCAGAGTGTCCCGAGTACCGCGCCAACTTCCTGAGCATGCTCGTCTTCTCGTGGATGGCCCCGCTCATGGCCACGGGCTACCACCGCCCGCTGCAGGCCACCGACATCTGGGCCGTCAACCCGCGCCGCGCCGTCGAGCCCACCACCGACCGCGTCAGGGAATCCTTCCGCCGCCGGGTCGCCAAAGGCGAGAAGAGGCCGCTCCTCTGGGCACTGAACGAGGCCTACCTCTGGGAGTTCTGGGCCGGCGGTATGTGCGGCATGGTTTCCACCCTCTGCCAGGTCATGTCCCCTTTCATGCTGCGCTTCCTGATTGCCTTCGCCACCGACGCATACCTCGCCGCCCAGCTCAGCCGGCCCCAGCCCAACCTCGGCACTGGCTTTGGCCTCGTCATAGGCGTCACCGCCCTGCAGGTCCTTCAGAGCCTCTGCATCAACCAGTTCATGTACCGCGGCATGCTTGTCGGCGGGCAGAGCAGGGCCTCGCTCATCTCAATGATCTATGACAAGTCCATGGTGATCTCGGGCAGGGCCAGGGCGGGAGGAGTCGACGACGGAAAGACCGAGGGACCCGCCGACGCAAAGGGCGACTCCAAGTCCAAGTCCAAGAACAAGAACAAGGGCAAGGGTCCATCTAAAAAGCCCGCCAACGACGCCGCCGGCTGGGCCAACGGGCGCATCATGAACCTCATGAGCGTCGACACGTACCGCATCGACACGGCCTGTGGCCTGTTCCATATCGTGTGGACGGCCCCTGTGTCCCTTGTCATCACCCTCGTCGTGCTGCTCGTTAACTTGGGCCCCAGCGCCCTCGCCGGCTTCGGCCTGCTCGTCATCGGCGCGCCGCTGCTCGCGCGTGCCGTCCGCAGCTTGTTTGCCCGCCGCCGCGCCATCAACCGCATCACGGACCAGCGCGTCTCGCTGACCCAGGAGATCATGCAGTCGGTCCGTTTCGTCAAGTACTTTGGCTGGGAGGAGTCCTTCCTAAAGCGCCTCAACGGCCTCCGCACCAAGGAGGTGTCGTCCATCCAGATCCTGTTGGCCCTGCGCAACGGCATTCTGGCCATCAGCCTGTCGCTGCCCGTCTTCGCCGCCATGCTGTCCTTCGTCACGTACTCGCTGTCCGGCAATACCCTGCGCTCCGACATCATCTTCTCTTCCCTGGCTCTGTTCAACGGCTTGCGCATGCCTCTGAACCTACTGCCCCTTGTCATCGGCCAGATCACCGACGGGTGGTCCTCGCTCAAGCGCATCCAGGAATTCCTGCTCGCCGAAGAACAGGCCGAGGACGTGGTTCACAAGCCGGATGGCAAAAATGCTCTCGAAATGCATGGCGCTGGCTTCACGTGGGAGAAGACCTCGTCGTCCGATGGCCAAGTGAACCAGGCCAAGCCTGCCCGGGGGGTCAAGAGCCAAGCGCAGCCCGCGGAGAGCTCTGAGAAGAGCACCGGTAGCAGCTCGGCTGTGGACAAGGAGCCATTCAAGCTCCAGAACCTCAACTTCGAGATTGGCCGGGACGAGCTTGTCGCCGTCATCGGTACTGTAGGCAGCGGCAAGAGCTCCCTGCTCTCAGCCCTGGCCGGCGACATGCGCAAGACGGACGGCGAGGTGGTTCTGGGTGCCTCGAGGGCTTTCTGCCCGCAGTATGCCTGGATCCAGAACACGACGGTTCGGGACAACATCACCTTTGGTAAGGACATGGACGAGGACTGGTACCACGAGGTGATCAAGGCGTAAGTGAAATCGGTCCTGCTCCCTCCCCCCGACCTGCCCCGGGATGATGCAATGCTGACTGCCGCTCACAGTTGCGCACTGAAACCTGACCTCGAAATGCTGCCAAACGGCGATTTGACCGAAATTGGTGAGCGTGGCATCACCATCTCCGGAGGCCAGAAGCAGCGGCTCAACATTGCGCGAGCCATCTACTTTGACGCCGACATTGTCCTGATGGATGACCCCCTGAGCGCCGTCGATGCCCACGTGGGCCGCCACATCTTTGACAATGCCATCCTCGGTCTCCTCGGAAACAAGTGCCGTATTCTGGCCACGCACCAGCTCTGGGTCCTCAACCGCTGCGACAGGATCATATGGATGGACGGCGGCAAGATCCAGGCCGTCGACACCTTTGACAACCTGATGAGCGGTCACGCCGGCTTCCGGCAGCTGATGGAGTCGCAGTCGCTAGAGGGGAAGAAGGACGAGGCCGAAGAGAGCACGCCGGGCGCCTCGGCAGATGCCGGTGCTGACGAGGCGGAGAAGAAGACCAAGCTGAAGAAGGGCAAGTCTATGATGCAAACCGAGGAGCAGGCCGTTTCGAGCGTGCCGTGGTCCGTATATGGCGACTTCATCCGGGCGTCAGGATCCATCCTCACCGCGCCCGCGACGCTCGTGCTGCTTCTCGTCTCGCAAGGGGCCAACATTGTCACCAGCCTGTGGCTTTCATGGTGGACGGGCGACAAGTACGGGTTCGCCCCGCCCGTGTACATGGGCGTGTATGCCGGGCTCGGCGTGGTGCAGGTGGTGCTGACCTTTGGCTTCATGGTGGCGCTCTCCATCTTCGGCACGCGCGCGTCCAAGCTGATGCTGCGCCGCGCCATGGCCCGCGTCCTGCGCGCGCCCATGTCCTTCTTCGACACGACTCCGCTGGGCCGCATCACCAACCGCTTCAGCCGCGACGTCGACGTCATGGACAACAACCTGTCGGAGAGCATGCGCATGTACTTCTTCTCCGTGTCGTCCATCCTGTCCGTCTTCGCCCTCATCATCGCCTTCTTCCACTGGTTCGCCATCGCCCTCGTCCCGCTCTCGTGCGCCTTCCTGCTCGCCACCGTCTACTACCGCGCCTCGGCCCGCGAGGTGAAGCGTTTCGAGTCCACCCTCCGCTCGTCCCTCTTCGCCCGCTTCGGTGAGGGGCTCAGCGGCGTGGCCTCGATCCGCGCCTATGGGCTGCAGAGCCGTTTTGCCCGCGACCTGCGGCGCTCCATCGACGACATGAACGGCGCTTACTTTCTGACCTACTCGAACCAGCGCTGGCTGTCGGTCCGGCTCGACGCCGTTGGCGCGTGTCTCGTGTTTGTGACAGGAGTCCTCGTCTTGACGAGCCGCTTCGACGTGCCGCCCAACATCGGTGGCCTGGTGCTCTCGTACATCCTGGCCATCGTGCAGATGCTCCAGTTCACCATCCGCCAGCTCGCCGAGGTGGAGAACGGCATGAACGCCGTCGAGCGCCTGCGCTACTACGGCACCGAGCTCGACGAGGAAGCCCCGCTGCACATCAAGGGCGCCGAGATGCGTCCCTCGTGGCCCGAGACGGGCGAGATCTCGTTCGAAAACGTCGAGATGCGCTACCGGGCCGGCCTGCCCCTGGTGCTGCGCGGCCTGGACATGCGCGTGAGAGGCGGCGAGCGCATCGGCATCGTTGGCCGCACGGGTGCTGGAAAGAGCTCCATAATGAGCACCCTCTTCAGGCTCGTCGAGCTTTCCGGCGGCCGGATCCTTATCGACGGCGTTGATATCGCCACCATCGGCCTGGCCGATCTGCGCTCGCGCCTGGCCATCATCCCGCAGGACCCGACGCTGTTCAAGGGCACTGTGCGCAGCAACCTCGATCCCTTTGACGAGCACTCGGATCTGGAGCTGTGGGACGCCCTCCGCCAGGCAGACCTTGTGGGGCCTGATGGCACGGCGCCCATGGCCAGCACGGTCCCCGCCCAGGAGGGCCAGGCAGAGACGGCAGAAACAACGACCGACAACGACAACAACAACAACAACAACGCCAAAGCAGTCACGTCCCGGATCCACCTCGACTCGATCGTGGAGGAGGAGGGGCTCAACTTCTCGCTGGGCCAGCGGCAGCTGATGGCGCTGGCGCGGGCGCTGGTGCGGGGGTCGCGCATCATCGTGTGCGACGAGGCGACGTCGTCGGTCGACATGGAGACGGACGCCAAGATCCAGGCCACCATGGCGGCCGGGTTCCGGGGCCGCACGCTCCTGTGCATCGCGCACCGGCTGCACACCATCGTCGGCTACGACCGCATCTGCGTCATGGACCAGGGCCGCATCGCCGAGCTGGACGACCCGCTCGAGCTGTGGCGCCGCGGCGCCGGCGGCATTTTTCGGGGCATGTGCGACCGCAGCGGCATCCGCGAGGAGGACATAATCGCCGCGAGGCAGGGGCTGGGGCTGGGGCTGGTCACCGGCGGCGGAAATGGGACCAAAGACGACGAGGAGGGACGGGAGGAAAAGTCGGGATGAAGAAAGGAAAGGACTGGTTCATAACGGCATCAAAAGTAAATCTTAATAATATGATGACTACGCAAAATCATAATCGGGGCAGATTCGGTAGTATCTCCGGATATCTCTGCACCGGCAGTGGGTCGCTGTCATTTGTTATGGTTCGCATCGTGCCACTTTAGAGTTTGGTTGTTGAGCAAGCCTTCCTTCCACAAGATGCGTCGACGCAACGCATGCTTTCCATCATCCTGTCTCGACCCGTCCAAATGCAACACAGACATCGTGGGTACAACCGCTTGGGTCAGTCCTCGGGTCCCTAGGCTGGGTTGGCTGGGTGGCACAAAGGTCACAAGGCCGCCCGCCCCGTCGCACAATAACCCAAAGAGGTCGCGGCGTGCATGTATATATGTGTCTAATACGGCTACGTGCCGGGCAGCACACGCCGTACACGGGCGAACCAAAAGGGCAGACGTCAGATGCCGCGCGCCGCGCGTGCAACATGGCGCCGCCGGGGAGTTGGATAGGTGGCGGCCGCATCAGAGGTCGCACCGGCATCGCCCGAAGAAAGTTGCTGGTAGGCACAGCGGGGCGACACAAAGATGATGTGTTGCGTGCATGTCAGATGCTGTGGCTCCCTGACGCGAGGCAGGGCCGTTGGCCACGGCCGGACGTCCGCAGCGACAAAAAGGGACTTGGTCAGACAAATTGGCTGTGGCTTTCAGATACAAACTCACAAACACCATGACCAACTGACAGCGCAAGACATATATCATGGTAGTATGCATATATTAAAACAAGATAATAGTCCCCAAACACACGCGACGCGCCAACCCCGGGACAGACACACCACAATCACGGAGGAGAATACAAAGGTTATATACTGTGTACGTCATGAGAACGCAAAGGCCGGGGCGACCAGAAACGCGCCGCCGCCCGGAATGAGTGTCATACAGAAGAAGGATGGACGGGAGAAGGCCAGAGTCCCCAGAGAAAGACGTGGGGGAAACCAGGAGAGACGGAAATACACAAACAGCCGCCGAGACACAAGAGAAATTCGGGAGCAACGAAGCATCCCAAGCTTTTCAAGCCAAGAAAATCAAGTCTATGGTCGTAGACTTTGCCGACGCCGTCGAGCGACCAAGGAACAAGAGCAAGAGTTGTCGCCAGGCTCCCTCCTATTTTGTTTCTAATGCGGGTGAAACGGATATCAAGTACCTCTCATGTGGAAAACATGCGTCGCCCGGGTGGGTAGCACCGAGTGGTTGTTTAAGATGTGACAGTCGCGAATGGAAAAAGAAACCTCAAAACGGGCGCTTGCTCTAGAACCGGCCGCCGTGTGGGGAAGGACTGAAGGTTCTCGACTGCGGGCTGTGGTTGTGCGGGTTCAGCGGCTGGTGCGGCCCGGGGCTCGGCGTGCCTGGGCCGTAGTAGGAGCCGGTGCGGGCGACTGGAGACGGGGACGGCATGGGATGGCCGGTCGGGTCGTCGAGCATGTCGTCCAGGTAGGCACTGGGCGCCCTGCCGACGGGCGGGGTGTTGAGGTTGAGGCTGGTCGTGCTGACGTTGCGCTGGACGCCCCCGGGGCCGCCGGCGTGACCCAGGTTGCTGCCCTGCCGCGTGGGGTGCATCGCGGGCGATTCGGGAGGTGTCATGCCAGAGACTGCCCTGGCGTGTCCTCGGCTGTCGGGGCGCAGGTTGGACAGACTGATGCTGTGCTCGTGGCGCGGCGGGTTGGGCGAACCCGCACCGGCGGCGTAGAATCCAGAGGGCAGGAAGCGGCTGTCGCGGTTGCTTACGCTGCCGCCGCCGCCTCCGAGGCCAGAGGTGGCCGTGGGCGAGAAGAACAGGTTGGACTGGGACGGGGTGGCCGAGGGCGTCGGACCGCGGTGGGTTCTCCTGACACCACGACCGGCCAGGCTGGCCGACGAGCCGGCAGGGCCCAGGCCAGCAGCGCCGGCCCCCATACCACCAGCGAGCAGGTTGGGGTTGGAGCCGCTCTCGTTGTACGACTTGTAGAATGGGGCGGGCGGAGTGGGGAAGGAGCCGGCAGCCTTGTCGTTGGCGGCATGCTGGGCGAGGGCGGCGCGCTCAACATCGCGGTGAAGCAGGCAGGCGATGACGGCGCGCCACACAAGAACGGTCAGACCAAAGGCACCCAGGATTGCGCCGACAGCGATGAAGACGGTACCCTCGGGCATGGTCGAATGCTGCATGAAGGGCGCCTGGTTGGTGGGCGGGACGCCGGGCGGCGGGTAGGTCGGGATGGCGTCGAGCGTGCGCGACAGGGTCGGGAGCGTGGCAGGTCCGCCGCCGCTTCCAGGGCTGGTGATGTTGGGGATGTCGCGTACCGACGTGTCGGCGGTCCCTCCCGTGATTCTGCTCGTCGCTGGTCCGGTGGGGGTGGAAGAGGCCGGCGAGGACGAGGCCGGCGCCGGGGTGTTTGTGTTCGCTGGAGACGACGTTGCGGGAGGGTTACTATTATTATTACCGCTATTTGTGCTGGGACTGTTCGTGTTCTGCGCTGCTGCCGTGGCCGAGAAGACCGAGAGGCCAGCGAAGGCGGCCAACAGAAGCGAGCGCTTCAGCGAGACGCGCGACGACCTCATGGCTACGGTTGGCGACGGGACCCGGGAGACGCAGCGAGTATCGTCAACAGGTAATTACAGGCCGACAGCCTCCGTTTTGCTCAATGTGTTGTTGTTCGCGACAACACGCTCGAGGCCAGGCTTCGATCGTGGCACTGCGTGGTTCAATACGAGATGGTGCTGTGGCGCGCTGTGCACAGTGAGCGCCCAGGGCGACACACAACCCGAGACGGTCACAGGCGCAGCGATCTGTTTCGAAAGCGCGGGCTGGCTGAACTGGTCGTCGGCTCGTTCAAGTTTTGCCGTCTGCCTATTCGAGTCGTGAGGGCTGGCGACTGACAGAGAGGTCAGACAGCAAGATCGGGATGGCCCTTGGAAAAGGAAAGGACGGCGTAACGAAACGATGGTCCGGCTGGGGCTGACAGCGTGGGATGAGACGACCAAACAAACGGAGGATAAAACGAAGGACGGACTAAAGGGCAAACGAATGAAAACAACGAATGTTGCAGAACCACAGCGACACCACCTCGAGGCCAAGACAGCGCAGGATCCGACCTTTTTTTCTTTCCCTGGAGTCGTATCACCAACCGCGAAATGGTTGGCCGAGCGGGTGGTGGTGAGAGCAGGCCTGGGTAAGAGGGCAGGAGGAGACAAGGCCAGTCGCAGGAGAAAAAGGGAAAAGGAGACACCCGCACTCGTGTTCGCGCGGCCCACGCAAGGGGACCCAAAGAGGACCCAGAGGCTTGTCCAATTAGATTGCGCCTTCCAAGCCTCGCACTGTGGCGATTCACCCACAGGAATCGAGAAATTTCTGCTTTCTGCATGCAAGTCCCTGCCTGATCAACACGAACGGCGGCCGATCTGTGGTGGAAACAAGGTGCATGCATGTGCATGCATTTCATTCAAACAATGTTTCTGGGGCAGAGGAGGTTATTTGGGCATGTAAACATCGAGGTAAACACTGGCGAAAATCTATCTTAACTAGGCATCCATTCGTATTGTTATCACAGCCTCGTAACCCTCACCAAAACATACAGGCTGACGCCAAAGGTGCCTGTGCTGTGAATGGATCTCGACTGGGTCAGATTGCGCCAACTTGGACCCCTTTTCTGCGCGACTTGCGGGGGCGCTGCAACCCTCATCCCTCATTCTCATCCCTCACTTTGCCGACATTGGCCAATGCTGCTGCTAGTGAAATTCGATCCAGCGCCCACTCGTGCCACTGCAGGGGCACACAGTGCCAAAAGCCACCGCCCCATAGGGAATCTGGGTCAGCTAGAGGTGCAGACAGTGTGCCGAGGACACAGCCCTCAGCTCCAACCGCGGGCTGGAATGCCTTTTGGCTGCAACTTACGTCACCTGACTCTCCCTCAGCCCCTCAGCCAAAACCATGCCAGGCCAGAAGCGGGAAAGCGCCGGCGACGACACGGCCGACGCGCCTGAAGCTGTGTGTTGGCGCCATCACGGTCGAGCACTCTCGGCCCGGTTTTTGGGAGTCGCTGCTCGTCTACACGGACTTGGCAACAAAAAAAACCGACATGAGTTTCGAGGACGGCCGGCGGTTGGGCGCATTTCGCTGAGATCAAGTTGGCGGTATTATTTATGCGCAGTTTCCCTGTGGCGCCACAGCCCGTCACATGAGAACCTAGACAATGCATCACCAAATGGTCTCATCATGCGGCTATCAGCCCGACAATTTCTTTTTGCCCGTTTGGGAGAGAGTTGTTTATCTGGACAATACATATTTGGACTATCTGAGGCAAATCTTGTCCAACCTACCCACGCCAAGGCCATATGAATGATTATCTCAATGGACAAACATCAATGGTGAAATGTGCGTGGAAACACCCAAACCGAGTTTGGTCGGGGCATCTTTGGCTCTCTCGGCTACGAGTCGCGCAAGCGAGAAAGTTTGTTAGCCACATACTTGCTGGTGTAGTTCGGTTGTGGTGGCGAGGCTACGCTGGAGAGGCGTCAAGTTCAACACCCGACTCTATACGGTGATCGCCCCGGAGCTCTGAAACAAGCCGGACTAGACGCTGGCGATGGCGGTTGGCATTGAAGAACGGCAATGGGCGAGTCGGTTATGGGGCCGGGGGGGGGGGGGGGGGGGGGTC